TATTGATAGCTTCTCACATGGAAGTATTGCTTATAGAGATTGACTAGTGACGTTATTAGTATAATCTATATTAACTCTCTGTTCTCATTTAAAAGTCAATATAAATGTCTACTTAAATAGTCTTACTATAGACACACACATATATATACACACACACACATATACACACATATATACACATCGGCGGCAAGGCTAAAAGGGCAAGCTAAAGCTAAGCAGCTAATAAAATTCTTAAAATATATCATAGTCTTGTTAAAGGCCATATAAAATTAAATTTTCTCATCGCTCGCAGCTCCACTTACTTGCTATGTTTTTGCGTTAACCACTTTCGCCGAAGGTTCACTACTCTGAAGAAAAGCCCCCCCTCATGCCACGTTATGACGACTTTATCTACAATATTCATCGCAATATACGATATAATCATTGACGCGCCCGAGGGCCAATTCCTTTAATGGCTCACTACCATTCCCATATTCTATGTCTCGTCGTCGAGAACCCTGGATAGCAAAAGACGCACAAACAGATTGGAAATTAGACAAGTATATAAGGATAAAGAGATCATCGTGTTCAGCGGTAAAGAGGATCTATATATCATCACCTCTTCTGCCGCTTGATCATAGCCCTTCTCCGTAGCTTCTGGTGACCGTACCGCTTTCTAAACAGCTCTTCGCAGCGCTGACATAGTTCTTCGTTAACAAGGTTCTCCATGGCGACCAAGGACGACTTCCACGAGACTAGGCACTGGATGGAGCTATCCTTCGCTAGATAGACATCTTTAATATCAGCCACCTTGTCGACATCACTTAAACGGGAACCTAGACAAACCGATCGTGCCTTGTTCTTTCGGTAGAGAACTAATAAGATTCGATGCTTAGTCTCCGAAGCCTCTCGGGCCTCTCTGGCTTCTCTAGCTTTCTAGGTCTTCTTTGTTGAGCGGCCAGACTGTTTTACAGAAGGGCCCCTATCGAGACCAGTGATAGCCTTCGTAGATGACCAAGATCGTTTCCGAGGTCGTGTTCCTTAGATAGCAACAACAGAGTTAGATGTGACAATCTCTGAAGTCATAGAAGGTGAGGATAGTGGATATTGTGAAAAGAGACTGATGTTTTCTATTATTCTTTATGTTAGAATCGAGGACAAGGATAAGGAACACTACGGAGATAGGAACTTACCTAGGTGATAGTCGCCAGTCAAGTTACGATCGCCTATAGAACTAGCTTCTACAGTCTTAGTGTCTTGGGCACTGATTTCCATTCTGGACCTGAAAGTGGATATGTTCTCGAGACCTCTCTTTGAAAATAGAGCCTAATTATCTCTTGTAGCTTCTATATTCTGCTTATTATGCTCTAAGATATCGTTGTTTATAGCTACTCGTGACTCTCCGTGAATGATACTATATAGGGTGTAGATCGCTATGATCTCACCTACTGGGTTATCATGTAGAGCTGAATGCGCTGGCTTGTTCTTTGAGTTAGAGAAACCAAAGGCTTCTTTATACTCGGCAAAGATATCGTGGATTTAGTTAACAAATAATGGCGTATCCAAATTTATATCACTATCACTGCGCTCGCGACCACCACTATCTCGAGCAGGTGTACAAGTGTAGATAGTATCGTCCTAATGCAATTTAATGCCTCTATCTTGCTCTTGGCCTGTATAATTGACTATGTTGTACTTTATCGAGTAGTCTACAGTGTTCTTTTCTTGGTTCGTGGCTGGATTGACACACCCTCTAGATAACTCTAGAGACTGATCGTCAGTATACGCTGAATCTATAGCTTTATAGGGGCGTTTATCGTTATTAGGGAGAGTGCCGTTATAGTATATATTAACAGACTAGTTATTATCTAGTATAAACAGCTTATCTAGAATAATATATTAGTATACACGGTCTTATTATGCTTCACTATAGTATAGAGACTCTTTCGACTCACCTTGGCTAGCACTAACTTGTACACTTAAGATAGTCTCAGCATTTAAATAGGCAATTATCTCCTTGCTGTTGCCCTTATGACCGCTATTCGCGCTGGTTCCGTCGACCGGGGCTCGGGATAAGATCGCATTAGGGTTAAAGTTATCCCTTGTATTAAATCGTGTTTTATTGTGTCTAAATATCTCTCGTAAAGATGGAAGGTCACTGGTGTCGCTATTGTAGTTAATGTTATTGTTATCCTTATTGGCTTCCTTATCGAGATTGACTTTATTATTATATATTGTGTCGCTTATACAGTCTCTAGTCATTCAAATGCTACGGTCATTAAAATCATTATATATAGATCTCGGGAGCTAATAAGATATAGTTAAATCTAAGAAATCGATAGAATCCGCTTTGCCTATAGATTCCGACTAAACATGAGATTTAGAGCTTTGTCTGCTCGATGTTAACGTTAAAGCGGTAATGACTGTGGGGGATTGGTTAAAGGTGCTGGTTTCTACGAGCAATATATTTGCTCGAGATTGATACAGAATAGAGGTCGCTATAACTAGGAAATAATGAAGAATAAACAGTTTGAGAAGTAGCTAAGATTAATGAAAAAGAGGATGAATTAAATGGCCAAAAATGAGAAAGAAACTAGTGCGATTTATATAGATGATCAACACACTGCTAAACATCTAATTTTGACTTTCTAGGAGGCGTAGTTTCGAGTTTCGATAATTGCTGAGTCGACGTAGTTTGCGATTAACTTCGTTGCTGGTGTTTTCGCTAACCTAATAGATAGAGAGAGAAGGTTGATATGTCAATAAAGTGAAGCAAAGTTATGCCACTAAATGTGATAATAGACAAGGTCTTTAGCTATCCCTAATAGTGACATAAATCGTGGTGTCGATGGTCGCAACTCTTGAGGCCATGAAATTCGGCTCTAACTCCTTAAAAGAGCCAAGCCAGCGATTTCCAGTGAGATTGCGAGCGATCTTGAAGTTCATTATCAACTTTATCATGACCAACCTCAACAGGCGGCTGCGCATCATTAGAACCATTATTTATGAGACAGCATTAACGTCTACATCTGTCCAAGCGAAATCGTGCCTTGCAAAGCCGATTTTTCCCATTTCTACGCTGTGTCCCGTCATTATCAGACTCGAATTTAATCACTATAGAGGATTCAATTCGAAATGAATGAGACCTTAGCCAAAAGCCCACTCGTGACACGCTAATATACACTGGCTGGCGAATAACGATCCTCTTCTTCGAGCGCTAAGAATCGAAGTGAATGACTTAGCTCTAACTCAATATAGCAGATTTTAGGTGGAGCGCAGGACACCATATAGACCACATTACCGATCAACTCGTGCGGCATTTTTACGATTAAATATACTAGATATAGCGCTCAGCTGCTGCGCCAGCCTGTACCAAAACACTAGCTGCGCTTCCAGGCTACCATCATATTCTCCATTCAGTAGTCGGCGCCGTGGCCATATAAGACGGTGGAGTGTCAGTCACCCTCACGTAGACTAAAGTTGCTTTTGGTGACGATCTCTCTTCTCTTTCGCAAGCCTAGAACAAGCGCCAGAAAAGTGCATTACAAGAATCACTCTGGTTGGGCGGCGTAAGGAGACACCGCGTTACGGAACGCTTCAGGATACCCGGTTAAGCTGTGGACAAAATAGACAATGGACAGATCAGTTGAGCCTAAAGGTTATCAGCCGGTGGAGCCAAATATATCATGCACTGCTTATTCGAGGGGGCCAAAACGGGCTGTGTCGAGGGTCGTAAAGGCCATGATAATCGAGGATTAGGAGAGTGATCGGAGCACATTAGCTCGAGGCGAGGCGGAATTCGAAGGGACCGGTGGAGAATTGAAAGAAGAGGAAAGGAGAAGGCGGCCCTAACGCGGCCGAGAAGGACGGAGGCTGCAGGGCGTGACGCACAACGGGTACACGAGGGGCAAAGGAGGTGAGAAAGAGAACAGGTTAAGAGGAAGAGAACACTGGCAAGGGACGAGGGTTCTTATAGACGTCAAAAGCGACGGCGCGCCCAGACCGCGACCATACCCGAACCGGCGGAGCCGCCTAAACCGCAGGCGGATTTCCCGGCAACGACTTTACAAGCCAAGTACTCACGCCTAGCGTCTTAGCGCCTCTGGCGGAACGCCGACGCCCTCACGTTCCTTACAACTTTTGCAACACCATCAATTCACTGTTTCTAGTTATATATGACTATATTCTCGGCCTTCACAAGGAGGGCTTCTCTCCGTCTAGAACGTCGCCCGATAGAACGCCGCCCGATAACGGTCGATGGCTCCATGCGGCGCGTTGTGCGACGGCGAGAAAGCCCTCCCTTGCAACGCTCCTTTTGCCTATATAATAGATAGAGATCTCCCTCCGAGAGAGGGAGGTCAGACTCGTCAATACATCCCATTTAGCCCCTCCACATGGCCTAGAACTGAGTGTTGCATAACACTATAAATCACTTAGGAGCTATTAAAGACTCGGAGTAGATATCTCTTGTTAGTTTAAAGATTTTTGCGAGAACTAAAGATTTGATTGTTAGTTAAGACCTCCACCTGAAAGTCTTAACTAAATCCTTTTTAGGCTATCCTTCTAGGCATGCATTAGTTAAGAATTATACTGAGACCACAATGTAGAATCCTGGCCACGGAGGAGATAGAGATCTAAAATGGGCCGCCTTCCTGGTTTTCGCTAATGATAGAACTCATCTTGAGATGAGGTGTATGGTACAATGCCAGGAGAACTGGCAATAGACATTAAACTGACGCCGCGACGGTGCATCGAGAGCGTGAGTAGATGGGTGAAGAAGAGAGAAGAGGGTGAGTGCGAGGACCTGGTCTTAAAGCGGCGCCGTCTGCGTGAGCGCGCTCAGAGCTGCCAAGGCTGGATTATTGGTGGTGCCCGCCAAGATTTCGCCCCGAATCGGGCTTAGTTCACACATGTCCCAAATTTCGCAGTCTGAGTTCGTCGACAATACAAAGACGGATTGAAGTCTTCAACCAACCTCACCGTCGACAACCCCCCAACTTCCTTTTCGCGACACCGTCAACATGTCTCGTCCTACCGTCGGTATCTTGAGCGCTGATGGCGCCAGCAGCGGAGAGACCCTCCCTCTCCCAGCTGTCTTCAGCTCCCCAATCCGTCCCGATATTGTCCAGTACGGAAAAATCACCAACCGCACCCAGCCCATTTACGACAAAGCTGACAACTGTGTAGATTCGTCCACACCGGAATGGCCAAGAACAAGAGACAGCCGTACGCCGTGAGCGAAAAGGCCGGTGAACAGACCTCTGCTGAGTCCTGGGGTACAGGTGCGTTTTGGGATCACACAAAAATGAAAGAGCAGTAATATCTGACAAACCTCACCAGGCCGTGCTGTCGCCCGTATTCCTCGTGTCTCCGGTGGTGGTACTCACAGAGCCGGTCAAGCTGCCTTTGGTAACCAGTGTCGATCTGGTCGCATGTTCGCACCCACCAAGGTCTGGAGAAAGTGGCATCAGAAGATCAACCTAGGTCAAAAGTAGGACTTACAACACCACCAGTCTTGCGTTGTGTGCGGTGAATAAATTACTGACACGCATCTTGCAGGCGATTCGCAGCTGCCTCCGCCATCGCTGCCAGCTCCGTCCCAGCTCTCCTCCTCGCCCGTGGCCACCGCATCTCCACCGTCCCCGAGGTCCCTCTCGTTGTCTCCAGCAAGGCTTTTGAAGGCGCCGCTCTCGTCAAGACCTCGGCCGCCGTTGCTCTGTTGAAGGCTGTCGGTGCCGGCCCGGACGTCGTCAAGGTCCAGAAGTCCCGCAAACTGCGCGCCGGAAAGGGTAAGCTGCGAAACCGCCGCCACCGCCAACGCCGCGGTCCTCTGGTCGTCTACAACCCCGAGAAGGACGGACGTGAGCTGGTTCGCGCTTTCCGCAACATCCCCGGTGTCGAGACCTCCCCCGTCACCGCCCTGAACCTCCTCCAGCTCGCCCCGGGTGGTCACTTGGGCCGCTTCATCATCTGGACCTCGTCTGCCTTTTCGGCCTTGGACACCATCTTCCCCGGCACCAAGTCCAACCTCGTCAGCAACGCCGACATCACCCGCCTGATCAACAGCTCTGAAGTGCAGGCCGTCGTCAAGGAGCCCAAGGGTTACGCCACCACCAAGAGATCTTCCGTCCAGAAGAAGAACCCTCTCCGCAACAGACAGGTTCTCCTCCGCCTCAACCCGTACGCCAGTCAATTCAGCAAGGAAAAGCTTGGCCAAAAGGGACTGGGCAACCAGGCTAAGCCTGAGCGTATCAGCAGCCAGGCTCTGGAAGTCTTGCACGAGAACTAGAATTGCATGAGCGTAAAATATGCGTTTGCCCTTCTGTTGTTTTTTTGCCTAGGAAAAAGAAGATGAGATGGTGAAGGTTTCTTTTTCGTGTGTTGAGTTCACGCATACCACCAGACCCAAACATCTGTGGTAGGCCCCTTCTCACATGAAAAATGTCGTGGTAGTCAGGGGGCGTTTTCGATTTATTACCAGCAGAGTCTCATCAATGGGGACATCAATGCCACGAATCAAAGTTCACCATGATCACGAGTTCATTAACGCAGTGTGTACTTGCGTTTCTTATGTTGCCGCTACTAGAGTCTTTTGGCGGGTGAGTCTCGAGATTGATCCGTCGTAGAACCCCTTTAACAGGGTGCTGCGTTCGCAATGCCCAGGTGTGCCATGGTACCCACAACGCATAGATGAGGGTGTGGAGAGTAACTCAGGTTCAGGTTCTTCATTTCATCGGAACCATCATATGTAGATGAACCGTCAGGATGCTCCATATCCACTTTTCTAGACCACAATCTACTGCACCTAGTAAGGTATGCAGCCCATTGTACAGAGTTTCTCCCAGTCACGATGAAGACCACCTCATTAGGGCTTCTCGAAGACTACCTCGCAGACTACCAGGAGGTCTCAGGAGACCTCCTACCTTACCTAGAGCTTCCCAAAGATCTCCAAGGCAGCCTTGGCTGTACTCTTTGCACTCTGTGGATTCTGCCCGGTGACGATGCGGCCATCAACGACGTGGAAATCATCCCACACTCCCTCTGCGCGGACATCTAAACCCCAAACCATAAACGACACGTTAGCAGATCAGGTTCGACTTTTCCCAAGATTGACACGAAACACGTAGAGAGGTGGAGAGAAAGAGAGAGAGAGAGAGTGCCGGGGCAGTTCAGTTATTATCATTACAGGGCCGAACGGGAAAGAGGAAGAGGGAGAAAAAGGAAAGGGAAAAACCGTACACTTTGCACCTAACTTCTCCGCCCACTCATCAATCAAAGGTTCACCCCAGCTGCGGATGGGTTCCATGACGTTCATCTCATATTCTGCCTGGGTGGTGAACCCGGTGATGGTCTTGCCTGCGATGACGGATTTGCCGGTCGTCGAGTCGATGATGCCTGGGAAGATGGCTTCGCCGTGACACCTAATTGTTTCGTGGAGTGTCAATCAGAGTCTGCGCGTTGGGGGAAAACCCCTTAAAAAAAAGCTCCTCCGAATACATATTGGTGGCGATGATTATATGAGAGGGCGGGAGAAATTCACTCACACGGCACTCAACACGCCGCCTTGGTTCCAGACATCCGTCGCAATCTTCTGCAAGCCCGTTGCGTGGGGATAGTCGATCAAGGCTGCGTGGCCTGCGCTCGCGAAGAAGATGCCGTACTATACACAAGCCACAAAGCAGTCAGCACCATCCAAGGTCTATACGATATCAAATATCAAATACAGGGTACAGTGGGAGCGAGAGAAACAGGTACTAGGTAAGGTAGGGTAAGGTAGGTGGTAATATGCAGCAAGGGAACAGTATAGCAGTAAGTGTAAGGGTAGAAGAAGAGAAGGAAAAGATTGCAACTCGAGGGACAGAGACACTGACATTCTTCCCGTCGACACTCTTGACATCGGGCATGTTGTCGACCTTTTTTCTAAACTCGCCATCCAAGTCTTCCCACTGCTTCTTGTCTTCGCCGTCGAGGAAACTCTCTTGCAGACTAAGCCAGTCGGCGACGTACGTGCCCTTTTCCGACACGAGGTCGACCTCGAACCCAGCGGCCTTGAAGACATTGTAGGGATGCAGAGCCTCGGAGATGAAGAACCCCGTCGGTTCGCCGTGGTGGAGCGGGGCCGTGGCTGAAGTGATGGCGATGACGGCGCGATGCGGCAGAGAAGAAGGCATTGTCGAGTTCGTAAACGAGTCCCTGTACCCAAGGTGTGCGTGTGGGTTGTATGATGGAGTTGTTTGCCGTGGGCGGGATTTGTGGAATTCTCGTGTGTCTTGAATACTGGTCAGGTTTCTGACGACGACGACGACACTCCAGGGAGTGTTCGTTTATATACCTCGCACGTACGAGACCCTGCTCATCCGCTCTCCATGGTGCTCATTACCTTTTATGATAAATCACAGTGCAGGCGGACGCGAAGACGTAGTCCACATGTAGAGGTGGTCAATGTCCAGAAGGGAGGGCCGGGGGGAGGATCAATCCAAAGCTATCCATCCCATCCACAGCAAAAGTAGATAGAAGATGCATTACCAATCCAAACATCGTCTCGTCTCGTCTCGTCATTCATTCGATGCACACTTTCACATCCTCGAAGCGAGAGGAGCCAAGAAGTTCTCGTTTTTCCTTGGTCTGAGTTCTTGAGACGCCGTCCGAGTAGACTACCAGTAGTTAGTGAGAATCAGCCCCGAGTCCAATTCCAGCCCATGGCCAGCCAAGTCGACGACGACAACACGAGTGATTTACAAGCTCCCGCAGATAGGGTATCATTGGATCACTTACCTAACCAAGAAGGGAGAGATACTTCGTATTCAATTAGTTACACGAGTTAGTCATCTCGGCAGATGAGCAAAACCTCAAGGGGGAGCGGGACAAGCGAGGTAAACGATCAGGCTACAACAAAGTCTGTCTTGACCCCCTGTCTTACCAAGATGTGAGTAACCCTCAATTCCTGTCTCCATCTCAACCCTAAGACAATTCAGGCAGTTTTTGTCGCAAGGACTATTCGATCGAATCGATGCCGAGATCTCTCGCTTACCTACATGAGTACATTCTACATGACACGATCAGGTCTTCGTCAGTTTATTGGCCTTGGGCGTGTCTGGAAACACGAGGTGCATGTGCTATTGAATCTTTCTACTGGGTACATGCGGTGTAGCAGTGGATGGTAATTCCTCAAGCCAATTAGACGCTCGAGACTCTCGACGTTTTGCATGCTCGAAGAAGTAATCATCACTTGCCTGTTCTTCGTACACCAAACGACATCAATCAATGCTCCTCATGGTGACCAGTTACACGTCGGACAGCTTTACCTTCACCACCCTGCATCATCATGCCTTGTTGTCATTTTTTGTCACCATTCCCTGCTTCCAGGTCTTTCATTCTCAGCTCCTTGAGCAATTCATTGACACTCCTGGTCTCTTTCCATGCCGAAAACGAATCGGGATTCCTCGCGATATGCGGCGGGTCTAATGCCTCAGCCTGCGGGGAATCACTGTCGTATCTCTCGAACTTGACCACTGCCCACCTTCTGTTCAGACTGGAATGCCACTCATTCTTGTCCCTCATCTTGGGCGTCTTCGTTCCAAACCGGTTTCGCGACCACTTTTGCTCCAGCATGCGGATGAGTCCAGGTGACCGAGGTTCTAGGAATGCCAGCTTCACAATTCGATAGTAGGCGTCAAACTCAAAAGTGCGTCCTCGTTCAAAATGACCATGAACTTGCTTGAAGGCGGCGATGGGAAATGCTTTGTTGTTATTGTTGTTATTATTACCCGTCATCGTTGGCCGTGGAGACGGCGGTTTTCTTTCCATCGTCGTTCTGCTGGTCACCGGACATGTCAAAGACCACATCATCATCGCCGTCACCATCGGCGAGTTCGACGGGCAGAAGATCGAGCTTCGTCTTTACCAAGATGATCTTCGTCCCAGCGTGGATTCGCATTGGCAAAGAGCAACAAGTACCCAAGTGTCCCAGGATGTTCTGCGGTATCGTGCAATGTGCTCGAACCTGGTCTTGGACCGAGCCCTTCGGGATGGTAGTGCAGAAATATTTCACGCGAGGTGCGCAGATGTTCATCGCCATCGCCATCGTCGTGGAGTAGTCGCGTCTTCTCCTGCTCTTTTTCATAATTGGATTCCATGGATGCCTCGTTCGTGGTCTCTTCTGTCGTCTTCTTGCCTCTCAAGGCGGGCGCGACGTAGCGTCGAGACATGCTGGCTGCGTTTGGTCAATTGGTGATACTGCCCCAGCGATATTGAAAAGATTGGAAAAAGGGTGAATCGCATCGTCCGACCCTCTTCAGCATTGCCGTCTCACTTCTGGACACTCACTTACGCGGCCTGAAAACAAAACTCTGTGGACAGTAGTCTTCACTGACGCTCTCTCGCTTCGCCGTGGTCGGTATCTTGGCGCCAGTTGCATTCAATCCCAGCAGGATGGGGGTCTTCATACTGCGGACAACGTTGATGAGATCTTGAAGAAACCCTTCGGTCATAACAACATATGATTGAGCCAAAAAGGCCCTTTGTTCTGTTTGACCCTCAGTCTTTGTGAGAGTAGCTATATCAAACTTGCTCTTGCTCTTGCAGAGTCTGCGAGGGCCGTGTATGATGTTTGCTGGTGGCTTTCACTGTCCATCCAGCTCCTCGCCAGCATTTCGATAGCCAAAACGAAAAAAACAACAGCCTATTTTCGCTCCAGCAGGATCTTCCATAGCTCTCCACCCTGCCCGGAGTGCCCTCCAGCATAATTGTTCCCCACGACGTTGACAAGTACTAAATCCTGCCTCATTCTGTCCAGGAATTTTTCTTCTTCGCTTCCTCGAGGGAAACATCGCCGCCAGACACTCCATATACTGTAGGCTTCCTCGCCCCATGCTCGGAAACTTTCATCCTCGATGATAGTCGGCGTTATAATCTCTCTGTTTCTGAAAACGCCCCAGGTCACTGCACTGATACCGCTCGTCCCTGGAGTTTGCTTCGTTGTGGACTTCTCGGGTGTGTTCGGTTGCTTGATGTCGGTGCTGGATTCGAAGACTCCACTGGCATCTGTTTTCATCCAACCCAATGTATCTGCTTCGTATTTCAACAATAGGGGCTTCAAACGGTCCTCCCACTCTTGTCGCGGGCAGAAAAACTCAACAAAGGCTTTTTGGAAGACCCATCCCTCCCCAGGAGGGCCCCAGCCGACAATTTCATCATCGCTTCTTGCACCGTCGACTGCTGGTTGGGAAGCCAGAGTCCAGTAACCCTTGGTCTCAATGAGATCCAAGAGTTCTTTCCTGATCACTTGAGTCTCCGCTCGTAACGGCCCTGAACCTCCACTGCTAGCCCCATCGATGTCCATCTCGTCACTCCAAGGAACCGCCTCCAGCTCTCCTACAACATGACGCCTGAACAGCTCGGTGATGTCCTTATGTGACGTGGGGTGGCCCCAGAGCTTCCGTGCTGTGATGGGTCCGACTTTCAGACTTGGTCCATAGCCGTCGATCTCACCAAAGGCTGGAGAATCTGATGGACCCCATCGTCCATTAGGAAAGTCATCCCAGGTTGCCTCTCGTCCGAGTGATCCTTGTCCCTCCGAAATCATGAGAGTGTGCTTTCTCGTCGGTCCTGAGGCTGGTATTCCTGTACCTTTTTCCGAAGCTTCATGGCGGGAGATGATCGGTGCAGTTTCCGGTCCACGTTGAGTGGCCTTCTTCGATCCGTGAGACGCTTTCAATGTAGCGTCGACAATTACTCGATTGTGAGGCTGTGCATTGACCGAGCTTGTCCTCCGCTTTGTGAAACGTGGTGTCCGGTCGAGTGTACCTCTTGCAGTACCGTCCGTGCCTTGACCCTCAGAATAGCCCGGCCGTTTTTCATCGTCGATAATGGCATCACTGTCGGATGATTCGGCGGGACTAGCTTGTTCACTCACCGGAGGAATGAGGCCCGTTCGCTCGAGGATGAAAGCCACCGACTTTTCAAGATTGAGGGTGTAAAAATGAAATCCACGTGGCACGCCTTCCGGCTGTGGGAGCTCTGTCATCTGCTCAACCAGCTCACTGAGGATGTCCACTCCTACCCGTTTGACCGCCTCATCGTCCGACTTGACAGCTTCTATTCTTTCCAGAATGTTACCAGGAATCTTTGCATGACTTAGCTTGGTTATCCTCTTGATTATTTGGTAGCTCTGGATGGGCATCAAGCCAGGGATGATAGGAATGCTTCCAAACAGCTTCTCTCCCTTCTCATCCACATACTCACGCAGTCTCTTCTCGTATGCCTGGTAAGCTTGAATGTCATAGGTGAGTTGGGTCATAATGAAATCGGCTCCAGCGGCAGTCTTTTCCGCAAGATACGGCAGGTCATATTCAACACTTTGCTTCCCGACCTCGGGATTATTTTCATCTGCATGCCCTTCTGGATATCCAGCAACACCGATGGAAAAGTAGTCACCATACTGCCGGCGAATGTATCGCACGAGATCGACGGCCCAGACAAACTCCTCGTTGCTGTCGGTACCTTCGCCACCACTGCCTGTTTCATCTGTGTCCTTGTACTCTTCCCGTGGCGGATCGCCTCGAAGAGCGAGAATATTTCTGATCCCCACCTCTTTTGCTCCTTCCAACGCTTCGTCCACTGCCTTTCTCTTCATGTTTGTACATGTCAAATGCAACACAGTCGTTAACCCTAGTTGCCTCTGGCATATCTCCGCCAGTTCTAGTGATTTGGTCGCTGTAGAGCCTCCCGCACCCCAGGTTACTGTGACAAAGAGTGGTCGCAGTCCTTGGGCCATGCGAACAAGACGGGCTTGCAGGTTGGCGAAGCCGGAGGACGTTTTGGGAGGGAAGAACTCGAGAGAGAAGTAGCGAGAGGAAGGGTCCAACTTGGACCATATTGAAGGTAACCGGTCGTCCATGGCTGCGTGCACCGCTAATCGAGTCTAGAGGCGAGGGTTCAGATTTGTGGTGGATGTCGCATGGAGCACGGGACTGAGTTGTGCGGTCGGAGAAACGAGTGTATGCCCTTGTTCGGTCACATATACGAGGACCAATGTGTTGAACAGTAAGTACCCTAGATATGTAGCGAAGATTGGTGTATGTACCGTAGATAATCCATACACCCCGGGGTACAAGACGTAGTTTACTGTCATGCAAAAGGAAAAATTGCCCCGCGCGCAGTGGGAGAAAGTAAAGTTTGTGGATTCAAGATCTTGACTCAATGACGCCCACCGCAGCCTCGTCGGCCTCGTCGGCCTCGTCATGTGCATGTACATACAACTGCCTTAGCTCCCAAGAACCTAGTGCAATTCAATAGTATGTAGGTAGGTAATGCCTCATCGCTCATCCGACGAGAATTAAATGTCGCCGTGGTGGCGACCGGACTTTGCTCTAGGCTTTATACAAGGGCACATTTCACGTAACATAAAACCAGAGACTGCGATTCTTTTAGACTGGGCGGCGCTGTTGACAGCACTATTACCAGATGCTACTCGTACAAAGCCGGTTCCCCTCAAAGACAACTGTAAGCCCATAAAGTCGATATCTCGTAGTGTAGTTCAAAACACCATCCCGTAATCCAGCTCGTGTCGTCAATCCTTGCGTAATCATAACATTGGTACATTGCCAGCCGAGAGAAGTCACCCTCAAACGCCGTCCATGAACCACTAGTTCTGCTCCCCACTAGTGAGGAAGTCGTCAAAATGTTTCGATACATTATCGCCATCCTCTAGCTCGGCATTGTTGTTGCCCGAATCGTTGCTAGCAGTGCGGATCATATCAAGTGCCTCACTGGCATGGCTGGTCTCGTGCTCTAGACTTGGAACCGCGTCATTGCTGCCGTCGCCTTCTTGGTTGGTGATATCCATAAACATAGTGTCGTACTCGCCAGGTGAACCATCCCGCCCAGACTGCGTTCCACGGGGTGACGCATTGGCAAGCCCATTCCGGAGATCATCATCAGCATCAAGCCCGGTATTTGGTTGAAACATTGGAAATGAGGGATCGTGATTCCGGGCATCACGGGATGAGGCACCTCCCGCGAACGTTGGCATCATAGGATCCTTCATGCCTTGTGGAGGTCGCTCTCCAGTCGGGCTAAACATGGGCGAAGGGCTATTAGGCGGGAATGACTCTGGCCGATCACCTCCAAAGTTATTATATGATGCAGGTCCAGCGATGAAGCCAGGTTCGATTGTTCCACCGGCTCCAGAAGCACCTGCCGACCCTTGTCGTTGTCCGGTTCCAGGGGTCTCCGCATTGCCTGCCGATTGACTGTGGCCAGGACTGGCCGCTGAACCAGGAGCGGACGGAGACTGTGTAGAAGGCTTAGGCAGAAGAGGGCCAGTCATAAAGGATTCTTGTGTCTTTCTGCGCACGTAGGTTTTTGTTCTAAGATGCGGTGGAAGATCCTCAGGCTTCTCCACCCCTAGTTCTTTCATCAACTTTTGCTGCTTGGTTGGCCGTGGCTTCCTGGTTGATAAGCTTTGAGCCAAAATCGGGGGGGGCTCAGGTGCGATAGGTTGCCACTTATGCAACTCTTGACGAAAAAGGTTCGTCTCATATGCAAGGAGAACCTCGGCACCCTCGATCTTGCGTAGGTAGAACAGCATCTCCGGCATTTCTTCGATAGTTCTGCAGATAGCGTTGCCATTGGTATATTGGCTCAAAAAGTCCCGGAAAGCTTGTGCTTTGTCAATGATGCGCTTGAGTAGCTCTTCTTCTTCTGGTTGGAACGGTAGGTCGGCGATCTCATCTTGCCAGCCCTGGAGGTCTTCTAGTTTTGGCCGAGCAGCATCCCGAGGGATCTTAACCCGCCAGTCACAGACCGGGCAGGTGAACATCTCGCATTCCTTGACTTTACCCCGAGCAAGTTTCAAGCACTTCGCGTGATACCTGAAGCACGGTCAGCACGATCATCTTAGTCAGATCGAGGTAGTACTTACCAGTCGTGACAGATCTCGCATTCTATCATCAGGCCCGCCTCAGGTTGCCGGCAAATGCAGAACACTGGCTTTTCGTCCTCACCCAGCTGCCCCCTTCCTCGGTCATCTGCAGGTGTGGCCTCCCGCGAAGCCGGTTCAACGGGTGGCCTGAAGGTATCGTTGAGATCGAAGCAGAAGTTATTCTTCTCCTCCACGAACTTCATATGCTGCTCGAGAATGTGAAGTGGCGCATTGGCTTTTCCGAAGAGCTTTTTACCTCTTCTCATCCAGTCTTCATGTCGTCTCAATTCTTTCTCCAGGTCTGCTGCACCATGCGGCTTTCCGTTGAGTTCCTCGAAGCCTTTGACGACGTCCCGAACATGAGCGTAAAGTGGCCGCTTGCGGAGATCCGGATCATGGCTACGCTCAACCAAGGTGATGATCTGTCGTTTGGCCTCCCGATTCTTCGCTAAAATCTGGTCCATTTTGTCCAAAACTTCCTTGTTGACTGGGAACATCTGGAGATGTACCTGCGAATGAAGAGATTCAAGTTGTGGATAATGGACGTCTTCGGCGGCCATAAGTTCTTTCGCCTTGTGTTCCCAGAATTCGCCTTGCTTGACCATATCGTTTACGAAGGCAGCCTCCGGAGCCTGCGGAAGAATGTCGAGTTCTGTAATTCGTTCAAGCAAGCTACGGCATTCGTCCAATGTCTTACTTGTGATATCCTTCTGGAGCTGTCGGGATTCCTCGAGCCATTGAGTCCGAGCATAAATCTTTTCGAGGCTGGTTAGTTCTGGCATGGCTGCTGAAAATCCGCGACCTTCTTCAAGTAGACCCTCCAACTCTTCTAAACCAGCTTGATTCATGCCTGACAGGATGCGCTTGGCGTTTGCACGCCACTCATCTATTAGCGTCACCTTTTCCTGCAGGCTTTCAAGCTGAGGAGTGCTGAACCCCAATTGTTCACCATCGTCAATAAGCTCCTTCATGCGATCAAGGGTCAGTTGCGGTTCGTTGTCTTTCTCGTCACCTTTTCCAGTACGAAGCGAGGATCGCCTCCATGCTTTCTCATTCTTGCGTCTGTTTTGCTGCTTGCGGGTAAGATAAAGGTTTGCTTCGTCAACCCACTGATCGCATCGTCTCACGAACTCGGCAAGATCGTCCAGGCCGTTGAGAGGAGCGGGGATTTTTTCGCCTTCACTGAGAAGCGTGTGTAGTGCCTTGAGAGAAGGGCGGGCCTCTTCCGCAAGTAAAGCATCCAATTTCGCTTCCCACAATTCTGGAACATGGGCTTTATCCACAACCTTTTGCACAATATTGCTCAGCTCCTGATTCGTATAGCGGAGGACTAGGCTATGATTCGTGCCTTTCAGCCTCTCTTCATCACTGTCCCCACAGCAGTCCGCCTTCAATGGGTGCAAAAGACACGATATTTTGCCACTGCGATGACAGCGGAATTGAGAAAGGTAGGAAAAGGCTTTGCAGTAACAGCATTGATACTCATCTTCTTCAAGATCGGAGTTGTCGATTTTGACGGTTAGACCGCAAGCTTTGGGAGGCTCCGTGGCAAGGGAGTCGAACGCGCATTCGTCGTGTGGGAGCCGTGTCTTGTGTATGTTGATGAAATACGCGCGTTCATGAAGTTCTCGGTCTCGAGTCCGCTCCAGAGCTGGCCCTAGCCATTTGGCAGTCTTGATTGTAGTATCTGACAGTGCAGCTGTAAACAGTAACTCATCATGCGAGAAGCACGGTTGGCGGCGGAACTCTTGCAACCGCCGGACACCAGATTCGCCAAAAGGCTCCCAATCGGCTGGTGCAAAATTGACCGCTTCGTTGAAGTTGAAGCCGTGGTTAAAACCTGCGTGGTAGGCTTGTGGAAAGGTGATAACGAACTGTCCTGCACGCTGGTCACAAGCATAGACATCCACACCCGCTTTTCTTAGTTGATTTGGCGGGAGTATTGTCACAAGCTGGAAGAGTAGATCTGGCTGAGTTTCGAACAGCTCGGGGACAGCTTTTCTCATCGCGTCCTCGAAGCGGCCTGCGTGGCTGCCGGGGATACCATACCAAGTCTTAGTAGCCCCAAAGTGTTGGTAGTTTGCAGAATATGCATAGTGATCCTCGTTATGCCAACAGAAGGTTGAGAAGCACATCCCCACATAAAGCCAGGGCACGGTCATACCAGAAATATCCCCCTTGATGTGCCTGAACAGAGAATCTTCGAGAAAGGGCATGACGTTGAGATTCCACGGGTCCTTGGAATACGGGTTCAGAGGTTGCTTTTCGATGGTGGGAAAGCCGCTGCCGTGAGTGGTGGAATGTATGTCAGCACCATACTCGACCTCTACCTGCTCGGTGAGGTCTTCGACAAGTCTCCAAAATTCCCGCTCCACGTCATCCTCTGTCGGTCTTCGCTGGGTGTTGGTGACAGGATCAAATGGCATCCTCGCAGCAAAGTAGTTTTCCTTGAAATTATTGGCCTTCTCTTGGAACTGCTTCAGGGAGTAGATACTTCCTTCCTCGAAGCCATAGTCGTTGGTGCCAACTAGACATTTGGGACAGTGCCACTCGCTTGGAGCTTGTGTCAATGGCGGCTCCGCGCACTGCATATGGTAACCCAAATCACAACTATCGCAAAGTATAATGCTTTCTTTGTGGTCTGATTTCCCGCACTTTTCGCATCTTTCCCCGTGTCTTCGAGGAGTAGATTTGCTTCGGACCTGAGGGGTAGAAGGGCGCATCGCGGGGACATGGTTGCCTGGGATTGTAGGCATCCCATCCTTTTTCGGTCTCTTGCTCCTTCTCCCGTTTGGCCCATCTTCGTCGCCGTGCATCGCTTCTGACCCAGACTCTCCAGTCAGACTATCATGACTCATTGTCCTCTTAAGTGGATTAGATCCTCCATTATGCAGGTGAGCTGCCAGCGGAACAGCTGAAATCGTGGGCCCATTGACAGACATGAAAGATGAAGTGTGGTTTGGAGGAGGTGGTGGAGTTCCATTGACTTCGCTCTTTACAATGGGGGGTGGTAAAGTGTTGACAGCGGTGAATCCCGAAGGCGCATTTACTGCTGGGAACCCACTATTGACAGCTGTAAATCCGGAAGATGACACTGGTCGAGGCTGAGGCGCTGGAGCTGCAGGTACTATTGAGGGCTGTTGTTGCTGGATGGGTGTAGGGACCGGATGCATGGGCCCGTTTGCAGAGCTGTGGCGAGGTTGGCTGGGCTCTCTCATGTTCATTGCAGGGGGAGCTGATTGAGATGGAGGCGGATGTGATACCGGCGACTGGTGAGCGAGCACGGCTGGAGAGTACGAGCCTCCTTGTTCGTTTTCGAGTTGTTGCTGAACGCCAGGTTTAGCCCATTTCAGGTACTCTTCGTAGGGATGTAGCCATCTCTGGTACGAATTCTTCAGGGAAGTCGATAGAGATGACATTATTTTTCCACTGTAGCCCAAGTCTCGTCCAATTTCGGCCCATTTCTTGTCTTTGCATACTCTTTCAAATCCACCTCGAACCTCGACTGCTTTCTTCAGCTTGAATAGGTCGAGGGGACGCTTATCGACACTGGGAAACCGGTTGAGATGTTGTCCATACTGTTTATGGTATTTTGCAAGCTGGTCCAGATAGTTGAGGTTTGTCCTATTTCCTGCGGAGGAGTAAGAGGGCCGCCTAGGGTTGTTGGAGGATGCGCTGTTCTTACCTCCTTCTACAAGATTGATTTCCTGGCGTCGAGTACGAAAATGGAAGCGCTGCAAACGTCAACTCTGGTTTGAAAGATATGCAGTTGTTCAACTCACCTCGGTGTCAACAGCAAAATCTGGGTTCCAAGAATCCGGGGGAATGATCTTGCAAATGCCGAACTTGCTTGCATTTGGGGCTATGCTTCGAATATATTCCATAGGGTCACGAAACTCGGCTTCGGTCGGTCTATATGTGGGAGCTTCGAGGAGTCCATATTGTCTTGACCTTGCAGGAGGATCGCGGCTTGCTGGATCACCTTTGCGCTCTACAGTGCGCATGTCAAGTGGTTGAGCATGTCGAGCGCTGTACGGGAAAGCCGGTGTTGCGATGTTAGGACCGACACCATTCATCCGAGTGGCAGATGATGGTTTCGCGGTAGCAGTCGCAGGTGCGACACCACCTGTGGAAGGCGGAGCGACCATGACTGCACACAGATATGTGGTCTGACCAGAACGGCTCTGACTTTTGATCGCGTTGAGGCTTTCGCAAGCGACGAACGTCCGATGAATCCGAGCGGAGTAACGGGTGGAAAGCTTGCGGATGGATGATTTTGTTGAGAGAGTCGATATTCAACCGTGGACAAGACACCACGAAAGAGGGAACGAGTGGATGCGGGTAGCCTCGTCTTGTATCGCCGCAGAGTGACTGGAGAAGCGCCGTAGTGCTGGTAAAGCACTAGGGAAGAGGTGGTCACATATGCAGATTCTCCAGGTCTACAGGATACGAGATACAGGAAGAAAAGGTCAATTATTGAAGCAAGAACAGTCCGAGAATGTGAACGTGAGAGTGAAAGAGACGGCTTGAGCCTTTACAGGGCAGGCAAAGACTGTCTATGAGACTAACGGACTGGGAGCGACCGGGTATTGGCTGCTCAGGGCGGCACGAAGCTAGTTTGACAGACGACACACCAACTGCGCATGCCGCTCGTTACAAGCAGCCACAAGATCTTCCCAATACAGGCTTCCCCACTCACGTGACTGCTCGTTTCCTCGCGCGATCGACCAGACTACAAAGTGCCTCGTTCGACTGATAATCAGGCACAGGTCACAGAGAAGTGCATAAGATATCCTGGTGAAGGTAGCTATAATACTGTCAACGGAACTACCTCGACTGGCAATCCTGGTAGACACAGCTGTTTACATGTACGGGCTTCGATGGATGCGCAAAACTCGAACGATCTGTTGCGACCTTGCTCCGTACCAGTACATGGCCGCCACACTACATCGGCCCCATTGAAGGCTGAACGTGCCTGAGTCCACTCAGCATCAGTCGGCGGAACCAGAGGCATAGCCTGCGCGACTCACGGCCACACTTGACGCGTTAATGTGCTTTTGCGAGAAGCGTTCAATATGGAGTTGAAACCTATTCCGGCTTTTTATTGCTGTTATCTGCTTCGCTCTACTGTCCGCCACGCCAGCGTCTACGTCGGCTCTAGTCCGGATCCAGCCCGACGACTTGCTCAGCACAACGGTCGCGTGCAAGGTGGTGCTGTGCGCACATCTCGTGATAGTCTGCGGCCTTGGGAGGTCACCTGTGTGGTGGCAGGCTTCCCCTCCAACATTGCTGCGTTGCAGTTCGAGTGGGCATGGCAGAATTCCCATTTGACGAGACACATCCCCCCTCATGAGCGAATATCCTTTGCCGCAACCCGAACCAAGACCTCGAGAACCGGCAAAGTCACTCGGAGGCCTGGCAGGCCCAGAACATCCTTAATGGACAAGTTATCAAACTTGCACCTCCTCCTAAGAGCTTCGTATTTCTCGAGGTGGCCACTCGAGGTTCGCTTCTTCAGCCCAGACGCCTATCAATCGTGGCAAACGTGGTGCGGGCGAGTTGACACGCACATCTCGCAAAATATTAAAGTCCACTTGGACCCGCCTCAGATGCAGCCTCCGCCGGAACAAGATGAGTTCACTTCGGCACAGCCTGTCCAGAGGAAAAGAAAAGCAGATCTTATCGGCAAAGGGGGCGTTGATGGTGTCGATCCCACATATGCCGCCTTTCGGGAGGTCTTCGACAAGAGTCAATTCCTTCTTGACGAGGAAGACAATCAGACTTGTTCTGTATGCAAAAATGGAATTGATGTTCAGAAGGCGTTGTTTGTAGTTTGCCCCACCGAAAATTGTCAAAGCATTTCACACGTAACTTGCTTAGCAGATGCTTCCCTGGGACAACAACAATCAGCCTCTCTTGTGCCACAATCGGGACATTGTTCTTCATGCGGGCAACAGCATCCGTGGTCAGAGCTTATGCAGCAAGTGACTTTGAGGACTCGAGGTATGAAGGAAGTCAAGAAGATAATGGCACGGAAAGGCAGAAACGTAGCCATAAGTGCAAGTGAGGTATTAGAAGAGCAGAGTGAAGAGGAATCCGAAGCCGAAGCAGAGGGGCTTACCGCAGAGGAGGTGATTGATGAGGAGTTCTTCGACGAGCAGGAGGACGACGACAACATCTCGATCGCGTCCACAGACTCCCAGATGATCATTACAGCCACGCTCAAGGCTGATGATAAGATCGCGGCAGATAAGGCTCGATTGGAAATAGTCATCGAAGACAGCGAAGAGGAGACATAATCCAAATCTTGAAGCTTCAGGCCGCTTTTAACGGTCCTAGTACTTTGAGCGGTCCCGAGGATACGGCTGAATCTGAAAGACCCCGAATACCAAGCGCAATTTCCGCTGCCACTTGGTCCATTGTCCTTCCAGCGTCGACTGTCTTGGTGTCGACCTGGTCCAGACGGGAGAACAACTGCTCGAAGAGAGTTCGAACCCGGGTCTGCATTTTCTCGGTCTCATATCTCTCTTCGCCGTATCCACCTCTCTTCGCAGCATCAGCGGAGGAGATGTCGAGAAAGAAAAGTAGATCTGGTTTCACCAATCCTATCTCGGGATTCCACGCCCAATCGAGTGACAAATCTGGGTTCTCTTTTGCAGCTGAATAGACGGCTCCCGAGAAAGAGTAGCGATCTACTATCACGGTCACGCCATCCATGATATCTTGACGAATACTTCGGATGGCCTCCCAACGATTAGCTGAGAAGAGTAGATGAATGAAATGGTCGTCTTGCTGAGATTCGCCAGTCAAATAGCTGTTAATCATTTGCCCAGTAGGGGTGGTACGGTCTGATACGCCGTCGTTAATTGCACGGCTCTATTTGAGTTGACAATTACTGACCTGGGAACTTGACATATCGGGCTCTTTTGCCTTGGGCCTCGAATCTCTCGAAGAGCTTTTGACACTGTGTCGACTTGCCAGAGCGATCGAGTCCTTCAACAACAATCATATAGCCGCGTTCCCCAGACGAGCTCGTTTGCGACTTTTCATAAGAGACCATATTGTCGCAGAATGGTTATAAAGTGAACTCGACTAATAGCAGGACATTGATTGAGAAGATCGAGTTTAAGGTACTAAGATGTAGCGGTGTTCGGCTCGTTTCGATCGGGCGCTTGATCCACCGTACAACTAGTTATACGGTGGATTCTTTAGGGCAGTATCAAAATCCTGCGACGTCCGTTGCAAGACAGACAATTTTTGGACAACGCAAGGAATCATGGCAACATGGCACCGATAGAAGTCTCATCTCTCGGTCAACCACCGGACGAGATGCTGAGATTTATTCTGCAACATGGCGCAGTTTCAGAATTAGGGGCCCGTCTAGGTCAGTTGACCATACACGACAAACCTGTCATACACACACCTCACTACATTGTACCGACATCGAGGGGCGCCATCCCCCATGTCTCCCAAGACATCTTGCGGAAACACACGAGAATATCAGCTGCTTATGTGTCGCTCGAGGACTGTACGTTACTTCAACGGCGTAAAGCTGCGCACTGACTCAGGCTCACAGTTGTTGGGTGATAGTCATAGAGAAATTGCCAGACAACCCGCCCATCTACAGCACCCCGACTCAAAATGGAGATTCGGCACTGCGGAATTTCACTGCGCTTCCCTCCCAATGCCTATCTATTCTAGGTCCTCGACGCGTTCCGAATATAATAACGCCGGCGCATAATACGAATTCGTCGGTGACAATCTCGACGTCTGTAGGCTTCAGATTTCTAGAACTGAGCCGTTACAATGAGGCCTTGCGCAGACTAAGACCGGATATCTCGACATGCCTCGCAGACATCATTCCGACAGAGGGCGCAAGCCTGAAGAGGATATCAAGAAGTGCAGACAGGACACATGCCTGGCTCCGAGACACAATTGAACGCACGGGTGGCGATGGATTGCGACCGTTCTTCGCCAGCGTCCCACCCCTCGACTCCCCCTTACTTTCACTCTATCTCGACGACCTACGAGACGAATACAAAGAGCACATATCCGGATTATGTATCTACTCGCCTGAAACGGCGGCAGGACTCCCAACTTACCTCGAACATTTGCCCAGGATATGTGTCGGTGACCCTGCCACTCCGCAGGCATTACTAGCATCAATACATATGGGGGTCGATATGATGACGGTACCCTTTGTCACACAATCGACGGAATCCGGGATTGCTCTGTCCTTTTCATTTCCAGGCTCCTCGGCAGCAGAAACCGCGCAGCCTCTCGGAATTGACATGTGGTCCACCTCCCACGCCACAGACACCTCTCCCCTGAGCGAGGGCTGCAAATGCTATGCCTGTCGGGGGCACCACCGAGCATATGTACACCACCTGCTTCAGGCCAACGAGATGCTGGCCTGGACTCTGTTGCAGATTCACAACTATTCCATCCTCGACTCTTTTTTTGAACAAGTCCGTGACAGCATCAAGCGGCACTCTTTCGAAGACGACGTCCGGACTTTTTCCCGCGTCTATAAACCCGAACTTCCACAGCAGACTGGCAAAGGCCCGCGGATCAGAGGCTATCAGATGAGGAGCGTAGGTGGAGGAGAACCCAGGAAGAACACAAAGGCCTATGGCAAATTCGACGATCAGTTACAGAAGCTGGCTGAAGCCGAGTCGGGCGTAGCTACCCCTGACGGCGATGCAAATGACATTGAGGAGCATGGCTTAGCCAAGAGATTATAGCAAGATATATTCGAGGGTGGACAATCAGTTGCATCGGTAGTCATTAGGACTCAATAGTTGACGGCCGCCTACAATTCTGCAACTGTACAAATGAATATTATGTACTGTTCTCGTCCTCCAGTGTCTGTCGTTAAGAGTCTGTCCCTCCCCTGCTCATATCTTTTTCTACCGACCGAGACATTCGTCCTTTCTAACTTGAGAGTCCTTCTCGCCGACCGAGACGATCACCTCGGCGAAGTGAATCTTTCGCCCTCGCAGAAGCCGGTGGTGTTAGACGGGCGACGTTGATAGAGAGAGCCAAAGCGCCGAGCAGCACAAGTTTTACGACCAGAGAGCCGTCATATATCATTTCAGCACGCATGTAAAATGGTCAGAGATCATCATACCTCTCTCGCAGCCTCTCTGATCAGTGGTGCCACCTGCTTCCTACTCTTGCTCGTATCACCCATCCACCAGATCTTCCACGACCCTTTCCGTCCCAATCTTTGGTCCAGCGCTTTCCCAAGAGCGTCATCCTCCTCCCACGTCTTCAGCTGGAGTTCTCCAGCCCGTGATTCAAACGTGTCAACGATGCTGCCGCCGACTTGGTCATTCAGACCAAGAAGAACAAGCTCCTTTCCCTTCCCGGCACGAGTGAGCATGGCAAAGATTCCCAGGTTCCTATCCTCGCTGTGCGCAAACGTGTCGATCTCGTCGAGAAACTCGTCCACTCCCCCGGCATGCTCCACCAGCCAGGAGAGAGGCTTGACGAGACTCGATATCCCGATATTGACGTGCGCGTGGTTCCGGTTCTGACTCCTCATGGGCTCCGTCCAACTCTTGTAATCCCTGTCAAAGATCTCTTGCATCGTCAAGAGATCCAGCGAGTTCGTCTTTGTAGCGTTGATGACTTTGTGGAACGCGTCTCTATCCCACCCGAGGCTGGTCTGTCCACTTGTCGTTCCCTGTACATGGCCATGGCCGACGCCGTCGCCATCGCGCGTGACGATCGCATCCAGAAACTTGACTGCCTCCCTATCGACGTCTGAGCATTTATCCCCGCTGGCCTTGAGATTGGACGTGTCTATCAGGATAGGAGCCAGGGCAAGTCTAGCGATCTGCCTCAGCCCGTCGTTGCCGTCAGCGGGTTGGTGGCCACGGTCACGGTCGCGGTCATGGTGGTCCTGCTCTATTTCGGTCGCTGACGCAGCCTGCCACAACCCCTCATTCCGAAGATGCTGCACGACCAGACTCGTGCAACTGCCTATACCTGTCCGCACTATCCTGGGCTCGGCGTCGTCGGCCACATACCCCTCGTCGACATGGTGGTCGACACACCCGACGACATCGAGTCCGGACCGAATCACCTCGTCCGACAGTCCGGGAATGGGGATCGACGGCGCGTTGTGATCGACCAGGATCACCTTCTGCTTACCGTCGGGGGTCACAGTCCTTGTCCCAGCCGCAAACACGTCGTGGAACGTCGAACCGCCATCATCCAGCACGTCCGCAATGGTAAGCACCTCGTCCAACACCGCCGTCTTGCCCTCCTCACCGGACTTGCCACCGCCGCCAGTTCCGTGCCTGATGTGCTCCGGCTTCTCGTCCATCGCAAGGCGCAGCGCCACACCAAACTCCGGGCGGAGGCGCCACAGCTCCTTCGCGCGGACAGAAGGCAGATTCAGAATCGGAACATACACCTGAGCCTGTCGTGTCGGTGGTGGTGATCGCCCACCCGACATCATGGTCGACTTGGTGTCGCGATTGTAGAAATACGACAACACTATCGCAGAGATGAAACTGTCCAGGTCCGCCGAGGGATTGCCCATGACCAGCGTTAGTCCACTGCGTCGACCCGCGTCCGCCGCTGCGCTGCGCGACGGTATCGTCGAGGGCTTCGAGGCTGATGACGGCATTGCTATACGGCGTATGCGTGACAGATACGTCGACAGCGAGGGCATCGTGTCCGTCTCGGTATCCATCTCGTTCAAAGTTCAACGGCAACTCGGCATCTCTTGCACTCTCGGCGGCCCTTGCGACGTGGGTACAACGATGGCACACAACAATGATCGCTCGGATGTACTGAAGAATGTGTGGGCGAGGAGGGAATGGATGAGCGAGTGGAAATCAACCTCATTGTCGTTGGATCTTATTGGTAATGGGGGTGGGAGTTGGAAAAATGACGTAGACTTGAAAACACCATGGGATATTCTTGTGGTCAAAGACAAACACGGCAAAAACCTTCAACGTCCCCGAACAACTTTAACAGACAGACGACAATTCACCACCAATAACTCGTGGATATCAAGACCATGTTCGCTTGTAGAGTGAGATAATATCTAACTCGCCAAATCTGCCATTGCTCGCTCTATTCGCACTTCATTCATCTTACTCATTAGAACCCCTAAAATGGTCTGTTGTTCGTACAGTAAAGCATCCCGAGAGGCACGGGTTATGCCCGCCAAAAGAGTCCGTCTTCTGGCTCCCAGAGCCAGTGAATATCAACCCAATACCCATCATCAGATGATCCAAACTCGAATTCATCTGTGCCGAATCATTTCAATCGACCCAGACATGAACACCCATACAACCAAGAAAGACATCCTCCCATTAAATGCAATTCGCAAAACTTTTGTCATCCAGGGAGACGCCTAATCAGCGCACATGGTCCATAGCAATACAAGTAGGCCAGCCATGATATGTGCCCCCTCTCTTCCCGTACTCATGAACACTCCCATTCGCAAAAGACACACCACCTCGCACTTCGATCTGCCAGCACCAGACCACGCCAGGTCCCGCGCTCCGTAACTTTGACCGTCGTCTCCCACACACTGCCCAAGATCTCACCGTCGACCTCTCTGAGCGCACTTGCTTGTGGTAGGCCTTCATGCCGACGATTCAGTCTGATGATTTTCCCACTCGGGCTTTGAATCGCTAGCTTTGCCGGCTTGTCTTTGATTTTCACACCTCCTGCCCCAATGATTGTGCTGCCCTGTTCACTTGGATTGCTCCCAGCTGCACTGCTCGTCATACTCATGGCACTGGCTGGTCGTGCAAGGGGGTTCGGACTGACAGGTCGAAGATCAAAGCCATTTGCTTCTGAGGCGGGGGTTGAAGCGACAGAAGCAGCGTGCTGTCGAACGCAGAAGACGTATGTCTCGCCAGCACCCAATCGTATGCATTGTGGTTGGACAACGTAAAGATCCTGTCTTGTGGCATGTGGTGTGGGATGCCGTAGAACGAAATCATACGCAGGGTTCTCGCCAGATTGGTACAAGGGCAAGGCCAGGGCTACAGGATGGACAATATCCCGAGAACTGAGCATAAGCCCCTTCTTCCCAGCGTATACTTTCAAAACGGCGATTCCTTCGTCTCCAGGTAGAATGGCTTTGATAACATATCTCTTTTGACAAATCTCGGTGTTTGGCATGGTTCTGTACCAGCTAGGCTGAGAGAGGGCTCTTTTCCTGGTAATGTTGTCTGCGTCTTCGTATACGTCACCGTCCTGATCTCGAAGGTATTTTCTGGCCTCGACTTCTGCCACAATCTCAACATCTGGGGGGACATTGATACTCAGTGTACACATTTCGAGTCCTTCCATGCGGATGATACTAGTGTCGTATGCGTGCATTGACAGACCTTGTCTGAAGAAGGGCGGACACGTTCCAGGCAAGCTCAGCAGTACATCCGCACTGATGCTGGGAATCATGTGCTGCTGAGCATCCTCAACAGGTACATGTGTCCAGGATATCTCGCTGGGCTTTGCAAGAAAATACCACGCCTCCGCTATGGTTGTGCTGATGCTCGAGTATAGGATTCGCTTCGGATTGGTCGGACTTGCTAGGCTTGCGTCCATCATTCGCCATTCGTTGTCTACGAGTATCGCATTCCAGAAGTGGTTGGGTCGACTGAGGCTGTCCAGATCCAGATCTTCACCTGGTGTCTTGAGATATCCTTGCACGATCTCGGCGTGGATTCCAATGGCAGAGCACATTTCCACAATCAAAGCCGACACTTCTTGGCTATTCCCTCTTCTCGATTGTATGACCCGCCTTGTATCGATGGCAGAATTGTAGTTGTATCCGCCCATATCATGGTCTTCTTCCCAACTGATCCTTTCTGCGCACCAGATGAAAATTGCTCGGAGTCTTTGAACGCCACTGCGGTATGGCCGGCAGATGAAACCTGTCGCGAGACTGGCAGCGGTGATGCTGATCGGCAGACTGGTTACGAACCGAGCTGCCTTGTCGACTTGACTGAAACTGGGATTGCTTATTTGGAAAGGTTCGTAAACTGGTCGACCATTTGCATCTTCATCACCTTGAAGTGTCTCGAAAAGCTCCTCTACGGGGCAAATGACGGGTTGATCAAGCATGTGACATCGATCAGCCCGTTCCTGCCGTTCTGATGGTCCTGGAGTGTTGGACCGATTGATATCGCGCCGCGTGAGGATGTATGACCCAGAAGCTCCGCTTGCCAGGCCCATCTCGCGGGCGGCATCAACACCATAAGCATTCGCGTTTGTATTAGCAACGGGCGCATTGAAAGCCGTGCCTCCGGCGATACCAGTCAGCTTTGTTGGCGAACCCGCATTACCTACGGTTTGGCTGGCCGAGATTGTACTTCTGGCACTCGCTGCGCCCGTCTTTGCACTGTCCATCAGTTTCTTGAAGAAACCAGGCTTCTTTGCTTTGGGCGTGATAAATCCACCAAGACCGCCAGTTGTACTCCTCTCTGCATCTTCCCAGCCTATCGCGGACTTTGCCCCTTGCCTTGAGTCGTGACTGGAATGGAAGGAGATGCCTGTCACCGGTGTTTTGGGTCTCGGATCATTTTGCTCCCATCTATCAATTCTCATGCCTGCGCTCGTCATAGGTCGGCTCATCTTGTCTCGGATGCTCCCCATTCTTTTCCTCGCGAGACTGCCAGCACTGGTTGCGCTGAAAGCGCCAGCAGAGTACCCGCTCATGAGACTTTGGCTGGTCATGCTAGATTGGTGCGACGAATTTGTCGCAACACTCTGAACGCCGCTGCTGGAGTTTGTAGAATTTGTCTTAGACGTGTACGTCCTTGCTAACCCATTGTTTCCAAGTTCGTAGGCTGACTTCCTCTTCCGCAGTGACCGTCTACGATCTGCCATGGATGAAACAGGACGCGAAGCCCAGGGTGAGTTCTTTGCAGGTGGTTCAGGTGGATCGCTGCCAACATCATCGCCCGGATCTGTCAAGCCTTCTCTCGCCTGCTGCATACGACGAAGCCTGCTCTCCATTCGTTGGACATAATTCTCAAGTCTCGGAGCACCATCTTGAAATCTGTCTGGGCTGTTGTGACGGCTACTATAGTTGATCCGGCCTTCTGAGTAGTTGCTGCCTCCCGCAGCTAGTCCTAGACTGGTCACTGGCCGAGGATCCGATCGTTCGTTGGGCCGACGGAAATCGTCAAAGGCTTCTGGAGACCAAGGGTTGAAATCGTTGTCCTGCGCTTGTTTTGGATCGTGTCCAACTAATGTCATATCATCAAGCGAAGACATGACATCGTCCATAGCGCTACGGATCATAGGAGGAGTGTGGCCGTTCAGAGAAGGCGGTGCAGGTGAGGGTGTGCGGGAGAACGTTAGATATCTATCGTTCATATCAAGTGGCTGAGGAGCTGGAGACGGCGCCCGAGACACGCCTCCATTGACGCCTCCAAGAATGCGATGAGGTGGAGGAGGCGGTGGAGGCGAGGAGCCTATTTCATGGTGTGGTATTGGAGAGGGAGATCTTGATGGCGCTCGCGATGGTAGTCTCTGCTGCCAGAGCACTGTAGAGGGAGGATTTCTTGGGTCGTATGCTTGCGGAGGTGGTTGTGCTGGGGCTGCCCTCTGTTGAGGTGTGGTTCCCGTGCCAGAAGGAGGTTTGGCATGCTTGTAACCTTGAAAAGGTCTTCTGGATTTTGCTCGCTCTTTCTTTTCCTGTTGCTGTTCTAGGGTACTTTTGCGCCCGCTATCGGTTTTGTGTAGGTCTGGCAACGGGCTGACAGATCGACTCATAGGCACAAAGTTGTCCTCGAGAACAACGACAAAATTCGAGGGGAATAAGCCCATCATCCGTCTGTCTCGCCTCAGTCTGCCCATCCACCACGAGCCGTCGCCAGCATTTAGACATTCTATCAGGTCGCCTTCCACAAATCCCAGGTCTCTGTCCGTCTCTCCTCCCCACGAATAGACCGCGCGACACCAACAGGGGAATTTCGAAGGTAATCGAGAGGACGACATGTTCTCCAAGCGACAGCAAGGTCTCAAGTTGTTTCTAGAGAGGTCGCACGTCGCGTAGGCGGTGGAGACAGCAGCATCGAGCCGGTCAGTCAAGCCAATGTTTACGGTCGGAGAACGACCTGGATAATGAAACTCGAGGGAAGAGCTAAAGAATGGAGGAACCGACAACTGCTGCAGCCCAGGCTAGTATGAGCGGTCTCTGTTCATCAAGCAAGACACAGTCTGTGCTTTGCTACAACAATGTGATTGAGACAACATGAAGCGCAGGCGGCTTGTTGGTTGCTGTCGACATTTGTTGACATCTCGGCCCAAAATAGCTTAGGCTGTCGGCGCCGTCCGAGTCGGCCCCGGCGCACATCATTCTGACCACTTATAAAACTTGTTTGGTCTGACAAGCTCTTCCAGCGCCAAGCCTGCGTGGATACGCAGGGCTTGGTCCGATAAACGACATTCGACAGACGGCGCATTATCTTGCGGAAGTCGGCATCTAGGCATTAAAGCAGCAGTATTCAACGATGGGACTTCCGATCGTTTAAAGCTCCAGACGCGTTTTGATTTGCCCGTGGCATTCCACCTGATCTTGCCGTTTTAATGTATATGTGATGGGTGTTGATTAATCCATATTTCGTCCTCATAACGATATAATGCAGCTATAAAGCAGGCCAAATCCCGCTTCTCGATTCACTTCCTCTTGCTTGTCCTTTTTGAACCTGTACTCCATCTGAATTGCGACCAAAGGTGGCTGTATCTGAGCCTACACGCACCCCTTCGGCAAGGATTATTCAGCATTACTAGTCTGGCCAAAAATCGCCGAGAGTCAAAACCAAACCAGCAGTGACCTGCCTGACTTGATGATGAGTGGGCCAGATTCCTCCACGTCCTGGGCATCTTTGTCGGCTTCGAACGGTCTCACGGTGTCAAACCCCTATGTGGTAGAGAATACCGAGGCGATCTACCGGCAGAACGAGGGACGCCGGACGAGGAATATCAACCCCGCCTCTTCCCCAATGTCCTGGTCCCATGGAGCGAATCTTGGGCGGGTGAGGGACACTCTGCTGGCCGAATCTTCCCTGCGCGTTTTAGCTCGCGCGGAGACTCCGTTTCAATGATGTATGCCATGCGGACTGGGGGCCCCTGGTCCACCTATGCTTGAGCAACCACAAGAGGGCTCAGCCCGTGCTTCTCTCGGCCAAGCGCACGCTTATGCACCATCACCAAGCCCGGATGCATAGCTTGCCGCCCACGTCCTTGTCGCCTTGTCCATTAACATTGCTACACTCACTCCGTATTTCAAATTGAAGCACCAACTCGTTTGGTTTGGGTTTGTTTTGTGGACGTCTACCCTCATCGGTTCCGAGGCTGATGCCGGAAATCCACCTGTTTCGAGACACCTTTCGCGCGAAATGACGGACTTTGTCGAGATCTCGGTGGATTCTACCCAAGCCAATTCCAAGGCCTTGGCCCGTCACTAGGGGCGTTCTTCCAATCCACTCCGGTTGTCAGTATTATCGCCCTTCAAGGATCATGTCAGGCACAGTGTTTGCAAGAAAAGAGCAGTCGCACCTCGGTTTGTTGCGGCCTGGAATTGTTCTGTATGGCCAGAATTCACGTCTGTAAGTCGGAACGATTGTGACCCAACAATGTGGCTTTCCCTTGGGCCTGGTCAGCTAATGCATGACTGATTTGCCTGATGGCCAATCGCACCGCTGATGCTCACATGGCGTTCCCCAGACTTAGGTCTGCATACCTTTGGATTACCGTGGCTATCACTCAGCTTTCTGGGGTTGGCATCCTTGGTGGGTGGCTACCGTCGCCCATCACATCGCTACCCCACTCAGCCTATCGCACTGGAAGCGGTGCATTTTTCCTGGCCCATCAGCTTTCTAACCCTTGTCTCATGATTATCGCCATCGCGTTCTCGACCTTGGCCGACATGTTTTGCCCTGTTCAATTACTTCCCTGGAGCTTAGTTTCTCGCCTGTGCGGATTCTCAGCGGAGCCCTGAGTCTTGGTCAGTGCAGATGGATGTACTCACAATGCCAGTCTATATATTGCTCCATATCGCTCACCCCGGATTTATGTCTCTTCCAGTCCTCTTCTAAGCCCTCCTAACCTGTTGCCTTCTGCTACACTCTTCACTTGTTGTTGCCCACCATGAATCACAATCAAAAGCCTGTCACGGATGACAACGCCATCATCGAGAAAGATGTCGGCATTGATCAGCTCGAGCGGGCTGAAACTCAGGTGTCAATTGATTCGGATAAGGTCAACGATGCTCGCATCGCAGCCTTCACCCCGGAGGAACAGAAGAAGATTATCAGACACATCGATAGACGACTAGTTCTAACCCTCGGATTTCTCTATTGCGTTTCCTTGATGGATCGAACCAACACTGGCATCGCTGTCGTTGCTGGTATGGGCGTGGACCTCGTGCTCATCGGCAATCGATATTCCGTTATTGTCCTCCTCTTCTTCGTTACGTATGTCCTTCTGCAGCCACCTGCTACGGTCGTGTTGCGCAAAGTCGGACCACGTATCTTCCTCCCAACCATCACCCTGCTCTGGGGTATCACCATGATCTGTTTTGGATTTGTCAAGGATTGGTATGATCTCATCCCATTGAGATTGGTCCTAGGAGTCTTCGAGGCTGGTTTCTTCCCTGGTAAGCCACTGAATGTCACTCTTACTGCTCTGTGACTGAATTGTATCTCAGGATGCGCGTACCTGCTTAGTTGCTGGTATCCTCGCTACGAATTGCAGAAGCGAAATGCAGTTTTCTATTTGATTGGATCGATGGCTTCTGCCTTTTCTGGCATTCTTGCCTACGGATTCTCCCAGCTCAAGAACCACGGTTCAGGACCAAAGTGGTGGGGACAACATTACGGCCCTACTGCCGAAAATCCAACTGCACCTTCTGGCATTCTTCCTGGAATTGCCGGGTAAGTAGCAAGATGATGTTACTCTCCAGGTGGTTGGGAACCATGTGCTGACTCCCTGCAGCTGGCGATGGATCTTTATCCTCCAAGGCGTTCTCACCTGCGTAATGGCCATCTTTTCGTATCTGGTCATCGTGGACTTTCCCGAACTTTCTACCAACAGTTTTGGTCTGAAATTCCTCACTGAGAAAGAAGCTGCCTTTGTGGTCGCTCGCATCGAGAAGGATCGCCATGATGCCATTCCAGAGGAATTCAAATTGGGCAAATACCTCAAGTCTGGTCTGGATTTGAAAGTCTGGGGGTTTGCTGCCCTCTTCGGTCTTACCACCACAAACACCTATGCGATCGCCTACTTTCTACCCATCATTTTGAATGAGGGTATGGGATTCGACGTTGCCGCGTCTCAGTGCCTCATCTCCCCACCCTATGTGCTTGCTGCCATTGTCATGTACCTCTTCGCGTATCTCGGAGATAAATGGCACCTCCGGTCGCCATTTATTCTCATCAATGGTTGCCTACTTCTAATTGGTAAGTGAGCCAGTTATTCAATGCCTTCTCGCCGTTTGCTGACAACATCTCCCAAGGCCTTCCTCTTCTGGGCTATCTTGACAATGTCGGAGTTCGCTATTTTGGCGTCTTTATTGCCACGACAGCCTGTAACGCCAACGTTCCCTGCGTGCTCACCTGGCAAGCGAACAATATCCGAGGTCAGTGGAAGCGTGCACTTTGCTCTGCGACCTTGGTAGGGGCTGGAGGTATTGGTGGTATCATCGGAAGCACAGTCTTCCGTTCGCAAGATAAGCCGGAATACCATCCCGGTATTCTGACGTGCATGATCTCCAGCGGATTGATCATTCTTATCACTCTGGCCCTCGACTACAAATTCTGGAAAGCGAACAAGCGAGTTGATGCCGGTGGCAAGCCTATCGAGGGTCTCCGAGGATTCAAATATACATATTAAAGTCAACGAGGAATGAGAGGTGAGATTGTCACCAGATGTATATGAGGAGTGTGAAGAAGTTGGAATATGTGTCACGATTTATGATGACTCGGGCATCGAACTGACACACTAATGCTAGGTCTGAACTACCTCGTATGTACCAAGCACTGACAGCAATAATATACTGACTGTCCAGTATGAGACTTGCGGAACATAATATCTCGTCGATGACTCGCGTTTTTTGTGCTCCCTAAGCATAGTCCATGAGATTGCCACGCTTCCTCAAGTGCAACCCCGGCCTCGTTGGAAGCTGCATTACGGAATATTCCTACACTGAACTACTGAAGACGCACCGCATGAATGGTTGATCGAGCCGAGTGCCACGTTGTTCAACTTGTACATCCGAAGTTCGCGTTTGTGATCTCGATCCTGGCCACTCGACACCCCAGTCCTCCAGCCTCTCTCTCTCAATCTCGCTATCTTTCTAGTCCTCGGTGTACGGAATATGGGAACCCGAAACTAGGACAGAACTTCGTTAGGGGCTGTGGGCGCTATTGACTTCGCCTTTTTGGCCACCGGGGTCTCCATCCTTCCCCTTATCATTCTCCTCCTCATCCATCCCTCCCCGCAATAAATGGCAATCTCGTCGACTTCTCCACCCATTACAAGTTGAGACCATCATGCGTCCGTCAACCACGTTCCCACATTTCGTTTCTCTTTCTCATCATCGGTCAGGGAATATTGATAGCCGGTCAGACTCGTCACCTCGGAATTGTTTACACCATCCCCAAATGGCCTTTGTTGTAAAATCGCGGAATATTGTTGTCATGCCAGTCAAACTCGAGCAACAGGACGTCAAAAGAACGACACGCTTTCCAAGAGACTCCAAGAGACACCGAAAAGCGCCACATCCTTCACTCGTGTTGTACTGTACTTTTTTTTACGGGTTACACGGAGTACACCCACCACCCATCACGCGACGGCTCCTAGAAGGGTTTTAGGTGAATCCGGCCACCAGCCATCAATCACGACACCTTGGCTGACGAGTAGTGCGTGAGTGCCTTAGAGAAAACGACGACGGATGTGCTGTGCTGCACGATGCACCCCAGTCACGTTCGTCCGTCCGCCCAGTCCCTACAAAGCATCTCCCCTTCTTCCCTCTAGCATCGTTCTTTGTCAAGTTAACCAGTGGCAACTTAATCTCTACGGCCCACAGGAGTATTGTACATCCGCTAGACCTGGATCTCCCCTTTGCCTTTTGTTGTCTCGGCACTGGCCCCGCGATCTCTTGTTTGACACAAGTGACACTGACACCTCGTGTCTCGGCATCGGCAGTACAAGGTAAGTTGTGATTGACACGTTTTTCCCACCGGGTGTTTTGGACGACTCGCCTTCCTGGGGCTTTCTGGGCGTTTTCTTTTCCCCCCATCTCAATTGCCGAACATCAAGGCCAATTTCGAGACGGCTACTGAATCCCTCCTTGGCTCGATCATCGAAGAACAACCGCCCGAGGGACCTGTTGCCCGAATAGGTCTTTGCACGTCACTCAAGTGCAGAGCAAAACCCCATCGACAAACTGATGGATGTTGTGGACGACAGACAGTACACTCCACTCCACCGCGCTGCAGCCTACATTGCACGCCACCTGAATTTTTCCAGTGGGATACTCAGAATGCAACGAGGAAGAATACTACCGCGTCCTTGACGGAGTATCACTCTCTACCCTCTCTTTGAGCACTGTAGGTGTGCCTGTGATGCCTAGCTAGTGAGCCTGTAGAGACAGTGAGTGTCGAGAGCATGGCGGACACACCAGTCATCGCACGATCTTCATATTCGCCATCACTCTTCTCTCATCACACCACCATCGACAGATAGTGTTTACGCACGTTTGTGACATACACCCTTCTGGACAAAGGTCCTAAGATTGAGTCAGCAAGGAAATTAATCATCGCCGTAGATGGAATGCCTCGGTATAACAGAGTAAAGGCAAAACGATTCCCAATCAATCAATCATTCGTTCCTCGTGGCGTCTTCTTCACACCAGTACTTCCGGATCACTGCGGTTTGAGCACGGAGAGGCCTCTTCACAGTAGTGGTTAGAGTGGACTGGCTGGCTGGCTGGCTGGCTTGAAAGTCAGAAACGCCCAGACCGTCTAGACTCCTCACGACAACGCCACGTCGTTCACAGATTATGAGGTAAAGTCACCAAGGCTGCAATGCAATGCCAGTGCGCCACCTACAAAAAGTCAAACGTGCCATGCAATGCGTCCGGGGTATTGGCCTTGTTGGGTAAAGCTTCACCTGCCCGGCGTCTTGGACCCGAACACCCCCCGCGTTTGCTGTCGTTGAATACGAGACCAGATCTACCTAGGTATGGAATGATACGGAGTGCTACGGAGTATCCGGTCTCCATACTCCGTATCCGTACATGGATATATGTGTGTCTATTTGCCTAGGTTCATTGACTCAAACTCAGAGCGGCCAGAACCGGGGACGACGGGTATTCCGAGCGATGAAGCCGGCTGGTGCGAGAAAATGCCATGCAAAGCGATCGATGCAGTTTTGTCTGTCTCTCGGACGATGCCACCATGGACCAGGTCCATCTGCACTTGCCACTATCGCCTGCCGAGTGAATCGCGAATAAAAATACCTACAGGCAACCTGAGGCTTGCCCCTAGATACTCGGTTCCGTCCATCGTAGGTCTCGGTTCCGTTCAGGGAACACTATTCTCCTGCATCGTGTTGCAGTGATTGCGATTCCTGAGTTCTCGAGCCTGGCGACGGATTCTTCTTGTTACAATGTGTTGGTGCGGACCCTGTGGAGGATTGGCCCTGTCTCTCTGAGTCTCACCTCTACTGCCCAAGGAATCAAAAGTCTGCTGATCGACTACCTGTACCCGTCGCCGCACTCAATTTCAACCTGCAAACTCCGACGATCTTTCAAGACCCAGTATGACTTCAGCAGAGACTTTGGCAGTTGTATCCATCCTGGCCACGCTCTTTACTTAGGCCTTCCCACTATTCATTCAAACTTTGACTACAAGATTTTGACAAGTTGAATACGTCGGTCTGGTGATTAACCCATTCTCCTCTCCATCCGAAACCTCCAACCAGAAAGATGAACAAGTACAAAACAATATTCGACAAGTCCTTGATACACCTATAACAAGAGAATAGAGATTGAATATACTGTCAAAACTCCAGAAAATGCAATCATATGCAATTCATTCAAGTCAATCCTTGTCGAAATTTTGATTGAAATCAAAACTATTTGATCTGTGTGTCGACAAGCTGTAAATATACAGAACAGTATGCAAACTGATCTGGAGGAGATCAAGAGACAGCTCGAGGGCACGGAGGACAAGGCAAATGAGGAAGCAACGTGTTAAACAGGCCTGCGACGTCTTTACAACCCAATTATTCCAAGCCTATAATAAGTTATCTGCAACACCCCCAGCCAACCCTTAAGCAAGTTTGGTCAGACGAGCGAGAAAGTTCATGGGCAACAGACTGACGCCGCTTGATCTTCGGCAAACTCGGCTGGGCCACTGAGGCGCCGTTTGAAATTGTGGTTATTGCAACTTCATGCATTCGACATGAAGCTCATCTTGATTCTGGATGAGTGTGTGTACGTGTGTCGCAAAACACCGACTCACACATAGCGAGGCTGTGCAGGGCTGAGCATTTGTGTAGCCGTGGATCGTGTCAGGCTCTACGCAATGCAATCTCGCCCGGCACTCCGTCTCTTCCCAAGTGCTCTCTATGCGTGCCCAGTGATTCCTTGACCTGGCGCGTTGCCTTCTATATTGGGTTTCCAACGAAGAACCCTCTTCTTTTCTCATCCTAGAGTCGCTGCTGATGGATTAAACAGGGCCTTGTCTGTGACTCTGACGATGCCCTTATGCCCGAGTACCCAGATCTAAAAGGAGGATTCAGGGCTGGGCGGGTTCTCAATGTGCCCGTGATGGTTGCCGTGGAGGTTGTCCTAATATCTCTTCATCCATTTCACTTCACCTCACATCCACCACTTCACTTCACTTCACCTTGTGTCCACGCTCCCTGGTCACGCCAAGCGCCATGTTTACGTGCTGCGCGTCTGCCAGCTCATTTTGTGCTGTTATCCCAGTGATCATTCTCGCTGCCTTCCCTTCTCTCCTCGTCACCACTACTTCGTCTTCCCCGAACATGCTTTCATTGATCTCCCGAGTACAGACAGAGCTTTCATTCAGCATCCGACGCCTCAGCAAGTGGCAAGGGGACATCCCTCCTACATCCCACCATGGCCGCGATCGATGCCCTGTGGCGTGGTGAGGATGCAGCTCGATTCGCATACGAACACGTTTTCCTGCCCCCAAACCTACCGCAGTCCGATCATGACGAATTAGGTGCCGACTTCTTGCTACAACATTTCGTGACCGCCGCAGAAGATTTTTCGACTTTGTCCTCGTTCTCGGAGCCTGAGGGTCAATTCTGGCGAGGTTTCTCCTCGTCACTCGTCAAATGGCGGGATCTGTATTCCGGTGGTGCGCCTTGCAGCGATAACATTACTCAGGCTTTGCAGAACATGATGCCAGGGGGTAAGTCAGGAACTCGATATATTCTCCTTACTAATGTTCTCCTAGAAATCCTCCTTATTCCCGTCGTCTGTCAAAATGCAACCCTGTTGATTCGCAACAACTTCCAGGGAGCAATCGTGGAGTGCTTTGAAGTCTTGGCCACAACTGAGTCTGTCATGGCGGCAAAGGATGCTGTGATACGACGTTTCCCGGCGAGAGCAATCTTCCTCAGAAAAGAAGTACTCGACGACAAAGGTTTTGTGGAAGAGCTGGGAAAAGCAATATTTCAACTTTCCGTGGAAAAGCTTGAGCTAGCCATGGAGACAAGTACAAAGGGTGGTCAAACTTTTGCGGAAGAGCGTGACTCGGCGCATCCTCGCGCTGTCACCGAATGGCTCTTCTCCATTCTCAGCACCCGTGGCGAGCCTGTCTCGAGCCAAACAATCCTCAAGCGTACCCATGACGATGTGTGCTGGACCCACGCCCTGAGGCCATGGCGCCGCTCCAACATTTACCTTTCCGCGCGAGTGGGAGTCCAGCTTGCCCTTCTGAACTCCGGTATGACCGACAGTGGATATATCATGTACAAGAACTTCATGTTATATCTTGTGTCACAAATTGCCACTGAGATAGTGACCGTCAACATTGCCCCAGATGTCCTGCATGTTCTTCGAGTAAAGATCGCCCGACGCAATGCCAAACTGGGGCCTGAAACGATTGAATTTGTCCAGGAGGCGGCCGACAAGACCTTGCAGCTTATCGACAAGGCCATGCAGAGACATTGGGTAGAAATCAAAGCCCGAGAGGATGTTGGCGTTCCAAATATTCCTGTATCCTCTCTTTCGCAGTATTTGAATCTCAAATGCTCGGGTGAGCAGCTTCGAAAAGTCTGGGACAGGTCTCAAACAAGCTATGTGAAAGCTCGTACAAATTTCACACCCAAGGGGTTGCCGAGACTCCAATTCTCCAGAGTCACTCTACCCAGTCCAACGATATTCAACAAGTCCTCGACAGATCTGCTAAGCACGTTGAATGACTTTGAAAGATGGGTTGCTGAGAATCTCGAGTCGTGGCTGGTGTCAAATTCCGACAACGTCAATGAGTGCGCTACGCTGAATTATGTCATCGTCAACTATCATCGATCCGCCCGCAGTGTCTACCAGGAACATCCCCAGCTCGTGTCCGTCATGTTCCTGACGATGTTCGAGCTGTGGGCCGCACTCGACAAGATCACTACGACAGTTCATCCGCTACTGTTGGACTTCCCGCCAGACATCGACATTGCTGTCTTCCGCCCACTTTTGCTAAGCACAGAATCGCTTCTGAAAAGATTGGCACATCTGGAGACGTACATACAGTTTCGCAGTACCAGAGCCATGCCCACTAACCCTTCAATTTTCGGCAATCCGTCCAGAAATTGTCTCGCTTCGAGGTTCTACGACCAATCGCCTGAGTTGGCTGTCCTTAGAGCTGTCATCGAAGACGATGCTCAGGAAGCTAGGACCAAGAAGCAGGAAGAGTGGGACGAACAGAGACTGAAGCATCACAAATTGGTCCAGCAAGCTGCTTCACTCAAGCACAGCACGGCCAGAAAGCTTTCTGGCATGCACAACCCGGATAACTGTCACAAATGCTCGATTGAGAAAGAAGCGAGCTCTCTTAAGTTTGAAAAGCATGAGTGGCCGTTGCCTGCAGAAGAATCCGAGATCAAAGCTGTTGTCTTTGAACTGGGCATGCCAGAAGAACTCATCCACTGGCGTGATGGTACGTGGTATCTGGTTCATGACCTTGGCAGAGTTGCTACTCATGGCCAACAAGTGCTGCAACCATTGTTTTCTTACCGCGGGCTCCGCGAATATGGAACGGCCAAAGGTCGTCGAGTAACACTCGCATCCGCCTTGAAAGCAACTCACAAGACGCACTACTTCAGGGCAGGCGCGGCACTGGGCCCCGTTTCTGTAGGAAATGGACTGAAGTTTGCTATGTGTGACTCTTGGAGTAAGGTTGTATGGACTGCTTCTCAGCGCCAGAAGACAACGATTCGTCAAGCCTGCGCTTCGAAATTACCGGACACACTTGATACCCTACTTGGTCCACTAGTCCATACGACGAGCCATTCTCACAATTCAGTCATTGTGAAACAGACGCAGCGCCCGGCAGGCATGAGCGCTCCAGAGTACATCCTCTACGGCACAGTCCGCTCCGGTGAGAGACTTCAATGGATAAACATACTAACTGTCCTTCGATCTCACGAAATTGACCTCAACTCGATATCTACTGCGCTGCTCTTACTTCACGCGAGTTCCGAGGTAGGCGCACCTGGCACGATTGAGCCTCGTCATCTTAGAGACTGTCAAGGGGATCTCAACAATGACTCTTTCTGCTACGCACTTCTCGAAGCATTATCTTGCCGTCTGAAAGACATTGAGACAAGTTGGAAAGAAACCACAACTGCAGCGGTCATCCTCACACTGACACTCGCGCTCTCATCCTTGGCTCCAAGAGTTGTGAACCAATGCATTGAACTTGTACTTCGTATTCGTCGAGTCGGACTCGCATGGATCCGCCAACTTGCGCAAACCTATACGCTCATCCGGGACACATCAGGAAACTCAGTCTCACATGGAGACCTTCCGCAAAACATCATCAAGAGTTGCATCCTGGCACGTCGGACATACGCTACAGTGTGGAATGAATCTGCGCCAAGCTTTGATCGGGAATCTGTGGAAGACTATATTGAAATATCCATTCATCTTCATGCTCATCTGAGCACCATGCCTGACGAGAATGGATTGGATTCTCGATGGGCATCGGACATACTCCAAGACTCCCACAACGCTAGGTTCATCCTCATGTCCATTGTCGAATGGTTGGATCTTGCCGACGAAGTATTCTCGCGTGGCATCAAGAGATATTGGGGCTCGGCATCGTTCGAAGGGAAGTGGAATATTGTGCATCAGGATGACGTGTCTTGGATCACGAATCAGAGCAAGACCCGGCCGGTGCATCTAAACCTTGTCACAGGGAGCCTCCTCATATCCGGCAAGCCTCTGTCACGGCTGCCCTTCGATTATAGGTCCAATCCGTTGTACCGCGCAGTCTTCGCAGATCTCGAGCTGTTTGATGTAATTGCGTCCGATGTTGAAGACATGGAGTACATGTCCAGATATCTCTATGAGGGACACCAGGTCTATTTTGGCATGCGAATGGGTGAGTTGGTGCTACGTTCACATATTGACGATGAAAGATATGAGGCAGTACTTCCCAGCACATTTCATACAGATCTGCCCGCTGTCATTGTTCGTAACACGATTCCTTGGATGTCTCTACGCAGTGGTACCATAGAGTTTCGAAGTCGCGAGAAACCATGGGATTCTTCAGCTGCGGAATGGTTTCTTTACTCCGCTGTGGGCTCAGATCTGCAGCCTTCTTTGCACACTAAAGATGCTTGCTTGATCGACTACGAAAGCCCAGCTGGGATAACGATATGCCAGATCCTCCGATCAATTGAGAGAAGAGATCACATAGTAATATCAAAACCGGACAAGTCCAGTCTTGAAGTTTGGCTGCCGCGCTTCCACTTGCACTTCCATGTTACCCCTGAAGGGCACCTGAAGTGCAAGGAACTCTCAGCTGTTGTTGACCAGGACCAGTCGATCGGGACACTACATGGCCTCCAAAGTCGCCTGGTCCTACGCACAGTGGGTGAGGCATCCGGTAGCTCAAGCTCGCGAACCGTCCTGGTTCCCCTTGGGGAAGTTCAGGTTTTTCCTATGCCGCCGCACGTTCATGTAGTCATTGTCCAAAGTGATGATGACAAAACCATATCTTTCACTCAATTGCGCGTTGATGACCGTCTTGGCCGGCTCTTGGGTACGGATCTTGATTCGCACATCTACAAAACATATCTGCATGCGCTTACTGGATTTCCCGAGCCAGATAGCCTTACTGGACGGACTGGAACTGAGCAATGTCTCCTTGATTTATCCGACACCATCACTCGAACCACAGTCCCACTTTCACATCATTCCCGGGAGACCTTGACGCTCATTGCGGGTCTGTCGCCTACACGGAAATGGTACCCTGACCACAAACAGGTGATGCAGAGCTATTCATTCCACGAAGTGCTCTCTGGATATGTGCTACGGGACATTTTCTTTCTCTTCGTAATGGACATCTTCGAACACAATGCCAAGGCAGGGTTCTTGTCAAGCAATGAGATGCCAACACTCGCATACTCCTTGAAAGAGAATGATCTGCTGCTTCTACATAGATCCCATCATCGAACAAGAAAGCTCTATCCGACCGACCCAGCTTGGAACGGCCACGACGATATTACAGATCGCCATTATACTGCGAGGGACGAAGCTTTTTCTGAATCTGAGGCGGCCACTCGCTCCATGGCCACCCTCGTCCATGAATATCCATCATCATTCCCTGTTGGAGGCATCAAAGAGAGAATCCTTCGTTGGGGAGCTATTACTGGCCTTCAAGAATCATTTAACCCCTCCACCATCTCTGAGGTACTTCACGAGGACCTGAACCACCTCTTTCCCCGATTGTTGTATTCATGCAAACGCTCAAAGTTGCCGAAGCAGCAGTTAGTCTTTATACTCTCTCTGTTGGCTTTTAAAGATCCCACGCACATCCCACTCCTCAAGGCACTGCTTGCGGTGGCAGTGTCTCCCTTTTTGAAGCATTTACCTTTGTTGGATCAAAATTCGTATGATCTGAGAGAGGAAAATTTGTTCGGTGACAAAGCGATTGATGTTTGTTGGACGATGTTCGAGGAAGAGTGTGTTAACGCAAGTGGACCGACACATACGAAGAGACTGAGGAAAATAGCCAACAACTTCAGACAGCAACTCCAGCCGCAGTTGAAGAAGCACAAGGCAACAGTGTCCGCTGCAATCTCAACCTCGTGGATGAACGGAGCACTTGAACTTCCCCAAAAGATTGGGAATTTGGATATGAAGATTCTAAATAATGTCCTACGAGAGAGATTCTCCACCTGGAGAACGAACCGGATGTTTCTATCCCAGCTTGACGCATTTGACCGCGGTCTAGAAGCAATGAACGGTTCCTGGATTGCACCTGCTCCAGTCTATACTATTCTTGCTCATGGTGATAGTCTTCGAGGCCTGAGACGTCGTACCCACTTCTCACTGCTCGAAGTTATGCATCTTGTTGATACGGGCAAGGTGGACTTTGTACTCAGTGAGCCGAGTCTCGTGGATCGAGATTTGAGCAAGACGATCTCGGCCGAAGAAGAGCCAGAAGACGACAGACCTAGTATGGTACAGCAAATGTCCTCTGAACTTGAAGATCTGATTTCCGACCTCACCCTTGGGTCCGACGAAGCATCAGAGTCCTACGCACAACAACTGCACCAAAGTATTCAAGCTTTGCAAGGCGAAGTTCTTGAGCGCAAAGAGCACAGAATGAAAGTTCCCGACAGCATACTCCTAGACAGGATGGCCAAGCAGATCAAAGGAACAATCTCCCGCTTCATTCTTCTCTGCAACCTATTCCTCAAGCCGCGTTTCGATGCAGGGTTTGGTCTTGTCAAGGCAAGACTCTGGCCACAGGCCACTCCATTTACTATCCTTCAATTGCTTTCTCCACAGCATAGAAATGAGATTCCTGGGTCTTGGCTTGAGTTACTTGTTTCGTTTGCTCATGAAGTCACTGCGCTGCAACGGATTGGGAGAATTCAGTACTACCTTGTAGTAGGTGACGACTTTGCTCTGCAGCGCGAGCTGGCTAACCCTGCCCATGCCGCCTGGACTACTACAGAACGTTTGGACTGGCTGCTTTTGGAAATCCAGAACAACTTTCTCATCCGGCCGGTACAGGTGAAAGTTGCACAAGAGATCATAAAACCAGAGAATGGGCTTGTACTATTAGGTATGGGTGAAGGAAAGACGTCAGTTATATTGCCGATGGTGGTTAGTGCTCTTGCAACAGGCTCGAACCTCGTTCGTGTTGTGGTCCTAAAGCCACTGGCAAACGAGATGCTTCGGCAGTTGTCCAGAACCCTCTCAGGACTTTGTTCAAGAATGGTCTACTTTTTGCCGTTCTCCAGATCGACAAAACTATCCGCGGACACCCCTGGAAATCTCCTGGATCTCTACAAAGAATGTCGTCAACAACAGGGCGTGCTCCTTAGTCTTCCAGAGCACCTGAATTCATTTCGTCTTATTGGTTTTGACCAACTGGCTACCCATGGCAACTACTCGGCAGCACAGTTCATCAAGGTTCAAAGATGGCTGGATCAGAATGCTAGGGACGTGCTCGATGAGAGCGACGAGCTTCTGAAACCCAGCTATGAGCTCATTTACACGAATGGTCAAGCGAAGCCATTATCTGGCGCACCTGGGCGATGGACAGTCACTCTGCAACTGCTGAATCTGATCAAGGAAGTTGCTCACATTGTCCACCAACGACTGCCCCTGTCGCTTGAATTTGAGTCTCGAGATACCGGTGAGTTTCCACACATTCGGATACTCAAGGACGAAGGGGGGGTTGCGCTACGAGAACTTGTCGTTGAAAAGATTCTGCAAGGCAACCTACCATGTTTTCCCATCAGACACTGCAACGCAGATATGCGGCACGCTATCCGTACATTCCTACTGGATGTGCACATCAGTCGTGCCTGCGATATCAAGGTGTCCCAGCACTTCCACGGCACACCCCAGGAGTCTGCGGTGTATATATTGCGCGGTTTAACATCCCATGAGATCATCACGCATGCACTATGCAAAAGATGGATGGTTAACTACGGCTTGGATCGTTCTCGGTCGCTTGCGGCTGTACCTTACCGGGCAAAGGCCGTACCTTCCGCCAGTGCAGAGTTCGCTCAACCGGAAATGATGATCGCTCTTACGGCGCTCGCATGGCTCTACACAGGCCTGGAACGCAAAGATTTACTTGAGTGTATCACGATACTCTTGAGGACGGCCGACCCTTCTCATGAGTACGAGCAGTGGGTTCGTCAGGGTGGCCTCCCGGAGAAGTACCACAGCTTCAACTGTATTAATCTCGACGACAGTTCGTTGCTAGATTATCTGTACGGGAGTCTCAGAAAGTGCGGGCCTGTCGTTGAGTTTTTCCTCGAACACGTGGTCTTTCCAACGGAAGCCAAAGAATTCTCTCACAAGTTTTCGAGCAGTTCTTGGGACTTGTGTTCAACCGATGGTGGCAAAATCACTTCGGGATTCAGCGGCACTTGTGACAGTAGAGTCCCTTTGACATGTTTCCAGAAAGATCTTGAGGGTCTACGACACTCCACAGCTCTTACACTGACGACTCTCTTGCGGCAGAACAATCGCCGCTACGTGTGCGCAGCCTCGCCATCATATCAGCGCCTTACGACTGAAGGCCTTCTCGAAGTCATTGCTCAACAGCAGCCGACTCCATCAGTCCTAATCGATGTCGGGGCCCAGATCTTGGATCAGAACAAGGATGTTGCGGCGAAGTGGTTAGCCATGCGAACGGACAAATTAGCGGCAATCTTCTTCAACGACAAGGATGAGAAGATGGTCATGAATCGAGATGGGACAGTAGAGCCACTTTTATCTTCCATTTTCAAGGACGACGTTGGTCGCTGCCTCCTCTATCTTGACGAGTTTCACACTCGGGGGACAGATTTCAGACTACCTGATCAATTCCACGCCGGTATCCTCCTTGGGCCTGGACTTCTGAAGGATACGTTGGTGCAAGGCGCCATGCGGATGAGAAAACTTGCAGTCTCCCAAACCGTAAGCTTTTTCGCACCGCCGGAAGTCGATAGCAGTATCAGAACACTGATGAAAGACGCTGCCGCCGCTCCCGACAGTGCTGACGTTCTTCGCTGGGTCATTTACCAATCGTGCGAATCGTTGAAGAGACAGCAACGTGCTTGGGCAGTCAAAGGATTGCTGCATAGGCGTCGGCAGATTGCAATTTCTGAGCATATGCTAGACACGGGTAAAGTGAGAGAGGTAGATTCTTTTCTCAGCACGATTCGAGAACGAGAGAGCCGCACTGTGTCAGAGCTCTACGGTGTTTCCATCAGTCTTGAAGGAGCATTGCCATTCAACTTGAGCGCACAGGAAAAGCTTGACACCACAATACAAGTGTTGCAGAATGAATGGGAGGCCAGCAGCCGCCTTGCATCTAGTGCCCAGAATGTCGATGAGGAACAAGAGAGGGAAGTGCTTCATGAAGTAGAGCAAGAAAGAGAGGTCGAGAAAGACGTCAAAATCAAGCCTGCAAATCCCAAGCTCTGTCGGGCACTGTTGCCTCTCGTCGAGACAGGGAATGCACCAAATCTTCCAGACGGCTTGTATCCGGCATTCGAGATCTTGACCTACACCAGTATTGCCGACAAATACGTCCGACACGAATGGCCCTTCCACGTTATCGTCACAGTGGACTTTATGCGTACAGTCATGTCGGCCGAGAAGTCTTCTCAAGATGAATACCTCCGCCCAGTACAATGGGTTTTGAAAGCCAAATATCTCAAGCACCCAGTAATTATTAGTCCCCACGAAGCCAACAGCTTACTACCGACCATCAGAAAAAGCAAGAAGACGACACTCTTCCTTTATCAGGCCCGTACGTCGAAGGCCATGAAGCCGTTTGACTCCATGTCCGTGTACAGAGTTCCAGAGAGTGCAAGTTCCGGCGGCATGGATCGTGAGACCATCGTGGTCCTCAATCTTTTCGCGGGCCAGCTGTACTTTAGCACCTTTGAAGACTACCAGCTACTTTGTGGAGTCATTGGTCTCTGGGATGGCCAGCGATCTCTGCCAAATAAGACTGAAATTGGAAGTGATAACTTCGTTTCGCCTGCGTGTCGAGAAGCCAATGAGTGGACGCACTGCACGTTCAAGAAAAGTCCTGTCCAGATGTTGACGATGTTTATGGATATGAGAAGATTAGGGATCGGCTGGGGACAAACCCACGTGGGAAGGATATTGACAGGTTACCTTCTCCGACGGGACGAATTTGACTGAGAATGAAGCAGACGAGTGGGCCAGGTCAAGATTCAGGCTGATATCAGGAAACCAGGTTCGTTATGTTGGGGCTTCGAAGACGATTAACGCTTTTGATAGGACCGGGGTTCTGGGACTGGATGATTGAAAGTGAAGCCAACAAAAATGGTTCAGCTGTAGCTCGTACACAATGATTGTTTATTTGCTTGCATTTCTCAATGACAAAAGGAATTGACAGAAAACTTCTGTTAGAATCATGCATCTGTTCGTATATTGTCCTGTCAGGACAGTCTGTGCATCGCCACTCCTCACCCAGCACTTTCATCTTGCCGTCAGGAGAACAAAATGACCACTCGACTCGTATGGGCGTTTGGACTTCTATTCTATTGTATCCGAGCTAGTGACAATTAACCAACTCCAAGAGAAGTCGTATTCGTACACTAAGCCTCAGATCACTCGGCGTTCCTTCCCCGTCCGGTTGAAGCACAGCCACCCTCGCTCACCTGCAGCGCAAACAAAGTCCAAACGCATTGCGTCATCAGATTGGGCGGCATCGATGCTCCGTTGGTGATGAGCCTCACTCGTATTTGAATTACCACGACTTTAGTTCTCTCTCGGTCTCTTCGCTTCGCCTCCGCCAGGCAGATACAGTATATATTATTCTTCAAACCGTCCAAGACCGGTCTGAATCCCTTCCACCTTTGCAAACACCTCTTCCGCCCACAACCGATACATAGATATGTCGGCACCTCCAGAACCCCCTCCCTCGTATGCGGTAGCCACCGGCTCCTCCGCCACCACATCAAAAACGCAGGCGTCGTCGCGTCTTGAAGTTCCGCAGTCTAAGAACGGCATTCCAGCTGCAGCCAGAAGGTCAATGGAGGATCTACAGCGGCCTCTACCGGAGGGCTGGGTACGCTCCTACGATGCCAAAGAGAACCATCAATTCTTTGTCGACACCAAAGCCGATCCACCAAAATCGTACTGGGAGCATCCGCTCGATAACCCCGATGTCGTCAAAAGCCTGAGTTCGGAAGAGCGGGAAAGACTTCAAGATGAAGAGGACCAGATGAGAAAACGAGCCGCACACACCCCCGAGCCTCCCGATGAGGACCACCACGAACACGCGCCGCTGCCGGAATTACCGCCTCGACCGAACCAGGGCCAGTCCCACACGGCGACGAAGAAGAGCTTCGGTGAAAAACTGAAGGACAAAGTAACCGGAACCACCCACGACGAGCGTGTCAAGAACAGGGCCCAGCGAGAGCAGGAGGAGCGCGAATATTACGAGGCACACATGCGACTTCGACAAGCCATGCAAAGAGCGGAATTGACCGGCCAGCCTCAATTCTTCGCCAAAGACAGAGATGGAAGAGACATCTACATCGAGCCCTCAAATCCCGGCTATGGCTACGGAAATTATGGCAACAGAGGATACGGGGTGAACCCCTACGCCAGTGGACCATACGCAAACCCCAACGCGAGGTTCATCAGACCCGGTTATCCGTACGGACGTCCGTATGGTGGTTATTATGGTGGTGGTGCCGGTCTTCCAATTGTAAGCATTCGTTCTCTCCCCTTGTTCTCAACCTGATCGAGTTACTAACAATCTTTCAGGCTGGTGGTTTACTCGGCGGTCTACTTCTTGGAGGGCTTCTTTTCTAAATCTGTAAATGGTTCAACGTTCAAGCGAGTTGAAATGCGATAACGGCAATGCTGATGATTCTTCGAGATTTGTGTCGTTGAGGAATGATATCCCCGGCGCGCGGAGTTGTGGTGCCCCCTTTTCTGCGAAATACATGGCTATATAGAGCGGTTGCACGCTTCTGAATACATTTTCCATGGGCTTCATTCCACAAAGACAATATACTTATCGTGATTCGGTCATCCTCGTGGTCAGCCTGCGTTTTTCCATGCATACAATGCCCAGTTGACATGGGCTTCCTGCGCGGGTTACTCTTTTGCTTAGTAACAATCGAACTGCATAGACGAATGTAGTTTCAAAGATCATCCTCCCTTACCAGGACGGAGCGATTCAGGTCCTTTGGAGACGCACTCGGCACTCCCGCAAGATGTAACGTCAACTCCAGATCTCCCAGCGTCGACTTCAACGCGTGGCGTCACGCCCGGCCGACCTACCAGACACGTCTTCGCCCCCAGGGCCATGGCCTTTGCGATGTCGGCGCCGGCCCTGATTCCCGAGTCGAAGAGGACGTCGAGCTTGGACCCGACGGCGTCGACGATGCCGGGCAGGACGCCGAGCGACGAGTTGCCCCCCCCCCCCC